TTGGATTCGATATTTTCATATCCGACGCCAAATTTCGTCGAGGTAAGCCTATACTAGTATGATTTCGAGACTAAAATTGAATCACGGGCGCTTTCCTACCCATCTATTCAGGCTTGGTATAATGGATTCACCAAATTGTACCTGTGGTAATAGACCAACGGCAGACCTAAACCATTTATTCTTCGAATGTCCAAATTATGCAGACGCCATTCAAACTCTATTAAAAGAGCTAAATGATAACGGTGTCCAACGTCCTTTAAACATTACATGTGTCCTGGTCCAAGGTAAAAAAGCAGTTTTCGATTCGATAACTAAATTTATAAAAACAATTAACCTCAATATATGATATAACAAATGTGATGTTTGATATATGAGACGTATGTGGCAAATAGCGAAAGCTGATGCTAAAAAAAAAAAAAGAATTTGACTGCACTCCCGTTCAGGGCTGGTCCATTTCCAGATAGCAATTGTGGCAACTTTTTACTGAAAGATCGAATCTGTTAGTTCCATTCTTCTGCGTTAAGAAAAATTAAAGAAGTAACATAAACATTGCTGCCTTGGTAAATATTTTGGATCCTTACTTTGTTCGAATTTGTTTTGGTCCCTTCTATCGCCCAATTTTTCTTTAACGTTTTCTCCATTGTCTTGGAAATAGACAATTGGATGGACAAATCTCAGCATTCATCACGACCCATAGTAAGTCGCGCCGCTGGCTATCAGTGTCTATTTTTTCCAATATGTTGGGCGAGGGGTGAGCGCTAGGATTAAATTATGACACTTTTTCTCCAAAAGTTCCATAATAGAAGATTAAACACAAATAAAATCTGATACCTACCAGCAATATGGGGCAACAGCCCATACCGCAGGGCTATGGACATACTTCCCCAGTCGTCAGATTAAGTTAAAACTTTTCCTTTGTATCGTCCTGTAAGGCATTTTGAAATTTCGTTTGACAATTATAATTACATTACATGCAAAATTTCCATAAGACCATGGAAATTGTCGCCAAAGGTTACCATGCGTATTAGATGGTTAGACGAAGATTAATTCATCACAATTCTGTTGTTTTTATGTATGACTCAAGGATGAGTAAATATAGTCACATCGTTTGGCAAAATTATAAAGTGGCGCTAATTAGCCTTGTTTTTAGATATACCTACCTATTTCCTTACAACGTTCACAAAATAACTAAATTATCCGAAATGAGGCGCGTAAAGCTATTTAAATTAAAGTGAGATCTGTCAAGTTCATTAAAAATTTGTTTAATTAAACGGCCAATGTACATAGATGTGAAAAGAATTTCCTAAATGATTTTATGTTAATTTTATATTTAATTAAAAACATACTAATTGCTCAAGTTAATTGTGGCAGAATTCTCAGCTGCGCTTCTAAATTAAGCAAGCACGTCTCGTGAGAACAATTACACTTGATAAGTGATTAGAATTGTACGACCCTGATACAGAAAACCATTGCCCATATAGGGAAGATGTTTGCCTAGTTTACTCGGCATTACCAACGCATTACCTGTTGTACTGCTAATATGATTTAAGTGCTTAAATGATAATTTCATATTTACGTCTTGCCCGGAGCTTATTAAACTTTTTTTCCAATTACGATTTGCAAACGGGGAATTGGCGGCGTAAAGGTGCAGTTTTCACCAAACTTTTTCTCACTAGCTAAATGGATTTCTTACACGAAACCACGTTTCAGGATGTAAGAGCACAATAACTAAAAGAACTTTTTAGTGCGGAAAACGAAATGATTAACATAATGCAAATTAAAGAGGGAACTTTGAAAATTAAAATTTATATTCCTACAAGCGCGTTCCTCCAATTAAAAATTTAAATTTACAGTTTTGCAATTTCACCTATATTTTACCCTACAAACCAATTACACCGTTGACCTTTGTTAGCCAAATGTAAAAGGACGGAAACTAATTATTTTTAATTTACTGATATCTTAATTATGCAAGCAAATAAAATACATCCAGAATAATAGATTCGTTGCTTTTACTCGTACCTTGACTTTCAGTAGATCTTACGCCAGAGGAAACGACATTGTATTTGATGCCTTGTTACCTACTTTTTAAAGGAAATCCTCACAATTGAGACGAAGGGTAGGTACATACTCCTATCGACGATACTACCTAAACTAAAACTAAAAATTGTTTTATAAAAAAGTTACAGATAATGATCTTGTAATTAATCTCATTTTTAGCGCATTTTTGTAAATTTATTTGTAAAAAGGTAGCTTTTAATCTCACTTTGGTTGGCTGGCTGGCTGGCCGGCTCGCTGGCAGTAAATGCGAGCCCGTAGAAGATCGCTTGTAAAAAGACGAAAAGTGTACTTACATGTAGCTATCGGGACCGTATCATTAACAACTTTAGGGAATGTGGTTGCTCCTCATAAGATCTTATTGAAAATGGAGTCAAAACATCAAACTCTATAATAAAATGTGTTTGAATTACAGACCTTTAGGCGCCACCAATAAATCTGTAGTCGTCAAGTGAGGGGTAAGCAATTATCGTTTTTATTAAATACGAGAGCAGTTTGTCGGTGACTTTTTGAATTTCCCGCGCAGTAACTTGAAATGCAACACTGCTCTCATCAACCATCATCTATTAATAGACTACTGTCTTAGATCATCTATTATTCAACTATTCATCAACCATCATCTATTAATACACTATTAGATCATAATTATATATTTCATAGATACAGCCTATAGCCACTAAAACTGTGCCAATATATGTGAGAGAGATAGCCAACAGTAGAATACAGATCATGCGCACTAAGTTGACATTCCCGGCATTTCACTGGCGTGTGGCGTGTTTTTTCCTTAAAACTTTACATCCCACATAAAGTCAAACTTCGTCCATCTATACCTGTTTACAGAGTGAAATCATTTTTAACAATCTTAATATATCAACAAACACATTGAAAGTGGGTTGCCTAAGAAGATTGAATCAAGACTACCCTTAACTAAGATTAATGTATTCACATTTCTGTCTGCTTCTATCAAATAGAGAATGTGCGCGCACTCTCTTGCATCGATGCGTACACCACGAGCAGGTGTTACGTTGCATCCTTCTCTTTCACATTGTGGTGTAAAATATGTGTATGTGTCTCAGTGTCTGTACAATTTTGAGCAAGCTACGCTAGTTAGTTTGTGTTTGACAGATAGTGAAAGACGGAAAATGGCGATTTCTAAATGTTTTTATTGGTTAGTTCTTTTTTACCAGTTCGTTAGAAATTTTTAAACTTGCCGTGGAAATAGAAACTTAAAATTTGGTTCAGAGCTATAATCTATCATTGCGAATTAAATTAAAATAATTTCAAGATGGCGGTGTTTCCGTAAATACCGGAAGTTGGCACCATCTTGGTGTTTTTAAATAGAAACATGCCGTTTCCTATTTAAGATGTACTTACCTATCGGTCATAGTTTTTGGCATATATATATATATATCAATTTTTCTCTAAAAATTTGGAGATGCAAGGGTCCATTCAAAAATTCATTTCGTAAACCGTTCGTTTTAAGTGAGTGGTTTTTTTAATAAGCGAGTCCTTCAAGCCCAAGGATTTTTTGAGTGACCGCTGAAACTCTCGAAAAAAATGTCAAAAACTTCAGTTTTTCAAATTGCAACTACTATTTCTGATGGCAGAAATGAATGTAGATTTGAATTTTAGGGTCACATTTTGTATGCCTAGATCCAGTAATTCTTGAGTTGTCATTTTTTTTAAAGAAATATTATTTTTTTACCCTAAAATGATATCTACATTCATTTTTTTTATTTTGCCTTTATTTTTGAGTGGGCGGGGTTTCAGCCAAGGCTGCTCTACCAACCCAACCCACTACACACTTACAAATATCCATGGCCGAACCCGAATTCGAACCAGAGACCCTTAGCACCACAGTCCAGCTGAACTGCGCCGCATCTCTATTAATCGATTATAGTGCAAAACATTAGTTATTGGTGATCAGAAATATCTGTGAAATCTGGAATTTATTGAATAATAGACATAGGGCGGGTGAGAATTGAAAAGTGGAATCGGGAAGGCGAACCTACTAGAAATAAAGAAAATGAATATTAAAGTAGAGATGAGTACCTACGCGAGGGATGGAACTCTGTGTACCAAATTTAGTTGTCATGCAACCAATGTTCATTTTGATGAGGCGCCAAGCAACAAATTTGCATGTTTCGTAATAATGCAGAATTACGCTCGCCGACTTTCATTTTCTTCAACTGTTCCTGCACTTTTCTGTGCTTCAAGGGAAATGAGTTTAATTAATACTTGCAGTTCCTCAATAAAATCAGTAATGAATGCGTAGTCACGCATCGCAGTCCGCAAGAATTGATTAGTTGAAACTTAAAAAGTGACAGTGACCGTTTCAAACAATCTAATTACAAATGAGCAACATAACCGCCACAAATGAATCACTATTATTAAAATCACATTAAACGATACGCCAATTCCCAAATTATTTCATTGTATATAACGCAATTCGCCATACGTTAGCAATTTCACAACAACTCCGTATGACTGGTCGCATAATGCTCAGGTTGTGGGCCGCAGCGATCACTGGACACATTTTTTAACAAAAACAATAATTGACCTCTCCCCTCATAGTGGGTGTAAAGAATTAATTCTCTAAGTCATTTGATTTGAAATATTTTCCTTTCTCAACACAGTTGGAGAAGTAGGAGCCTTTCGCGATATTATTCAGTAGAGGCAATAAAATTGAATTAAAAATTGCTAATTAATACATAATACAACTTTTATAAATTAATGACAAGCGGAAAATTAATAATTTCTATTCATTACAACTCCCACTGCCATGTCAAATTCGAACACACTTACCTCTAACATTCTGACTGAAATGGGCTATAATTTTACTTTTCACATAAGCGTTATTTAACATGTTAGCCTTTGTCTAAAACAGCACGATTACCAAATTTGAAACGCAACCGGGCGTACTATAATTTAAATTGAGATCCTACCTGTCCAACTTGAATGCCATCAGCAAAGGCGATGAGAGCTAATCTATCAGGATGATGTAAAAGAGCGGCATGATCAGCGAGATCCGGCCTAGGAACAGGTGGTGGTAGTGGTACGGCGCGTGACAGTGGTTTTCGTCTTCTACAAACTATTGCGAGCCAGATAATCAGTAGAAGCAGCAAAACGCCGGCGCCGGTTGCTAGAGATATCAACATTGGTCCTCCTCCATTGACTTCCACTAGAAAGTTAAATTTTATTAATTCCTGAACTGACCAAAACTGTCAAATTTAGCCAATCTCATCATTCAGTTTACAAAGGGGATAGCGGTAACTGAATTACTCTACTGGTCTCCACTTAGGATAATATAATGTTTATATCCATACAGTAGGGCACGCTAATCTATAACAAATGGACTATTAAAACAATAATTCCATTGTATTTCAAATTTAATATGTTCGACAGATAGGATAAAAGTCTTTGCATGGTATAGGGATATGGACCGAAGTCCATTTTGCCACCACTGTACTATTGGAGTAAATAACGGGAGATCAAAAAAAGATTCACCTCTAGCCGCCTTTGGAAGTTCAAGTTAAATATGATTTCCCAAGTAAACAAAAAAAAGGTAACTTGACAGCAACTCTTTTTTGATTGCATAGTACATTTTTGGGCAACCATTTGGCCCAAATGCTGACAAACACTTTTAGAACATACCATTTACTTTACATTTTTCGAAACGGAAACGTGTACAAAATGCAAAAAGAATATGACCATTCCAATCTCAGATGGAGCACACGAATAGACAGACCCGACAAGACGAAACTATTACTGACTAGATTCTCCATATCTATCAGTAAAGGTATCAATAACAATCTCAAAATCTGTTGAGAGTTACTATTTAAAACTTTTAATTTGGGAGTGGGGGGCTTTTTATTCGATAATAACAAGCTGTATATCTTCAAAAAGTGAAGAGAGCATTTAAATAAATAGACTCGATCCTCTACCAGTAGGTGTAGCATTAGGTCTTAGGTGCGCACTAAGTTATTATTATTGTAGAATGTAGATAGCGTCTTGAGGAGCTGCACAATTAAAGATGAACAATTTTATTAAATCTTCTCCAGAAACAAAATGTTCATTACAAATGAATGTAAGAATTTTTCATTACTAGTTCCGGTTTTTTTACTATTTGTGGCAAACCTAATCGCACAAAGTGCACGTAACCTAAAACCTTCAATATGAATATGCCGCTTTAAACTTACTTATTGTGAGTAGTCCAATTACACCGTCCACAAATTAAATGTTTGAGAAAGTTGTGCGTGTTAATAGATGACGCTTTAAGCGAACGCTTAATTGTAGCATAATTACATAATATGACAGAAAATTATTGAAAGCGGAGTGTGTCAAAGATTTACGTATATTTCTCCTATTTTTTGTTGTGCAATTGAACTGTTCACAATTAAATAGTTTGGAAATGTTATGTGTTAGACAGTGATTCTTTAACTTATCCTTATTGTTGGTTGTGTAATTGCACTGTTCATAAGTACAGACTTTTCACTGGTTGCCCTATGGACTAAGCTCCGCTAAATAAATTCCAATTGCTAAAAACCTCTTTGTAAGAGGTAATCCAATTGGTTCTTCGACAGATGTATTTATAAGTTCTGTACCCTCAAACAATAAAAACGACCGTACTGTATACTGTTTCTGAGGTACAGTACAAGTAGTTGTTCCGTAGCACAAGATGACACAAGTGTGGAGCAATCACGGCGTTTACAGTCACCTCTTGATAATTTTTTTAATTTATTTAGGTATAAAAGTCTGGAAGCCGCCATCTCTCAATTCAGACCTCTTTTACTGCAGACAATCTTGAGACCCGAAAGTCACATTAGGTTCCAATGTATGCCCCGCCCATGGCAACAAGGTTATAATCAAGCTACTAACCGAGGTCTGCGCTCTGGCGGGACTTGCTCTTGGATAATAACATCATTTGAATATGCTAATACTAGAGCATGCACCCTGATTACTCATAATCAAAAGTGTCAAAGTGGTAATGTTACATTTGATATGGTACAGTTTGAATTTCATGCAATTCGGTTTGTAACTCACATGGACGAGATGAGATATTCTTAAAAAAAAAGACTTCATCATATGTCTTCTACAGTAAATTACCAAAAAGTAGAATGAATCACAAATTATAAATTCATACCCAACTCTAGAAATAACACAACCTGATGTTTTTAGCGTTCCAGTGGCTCTGAATAGGATTACAACATGTACATACAATTATTGGCTAGTACTACTTTAGAAACATAGATAAGCAACCTCGCTTCTCCAAAGCGGCCATATTCCAATGTTTCCCCCATATCATCTTAAACTATAGACAAAATTGTATGCTACCACAACAATCACTGTAATAAATGGTCACGAATTCACGTCACCATCGTGACTTTACACTCTGATTATTGAGTTGTTCTCGATTGGGATAGATAATGCTAATAATAATTTCTTAGCAACTAAAAAATAAAGAATAGCTTATAAAACAACAAATAACGCTACCAAAAACATATAGAAATTATCCAAAAGGAAAGACAAATGTTAGTAATTCTCAGAAGGCGTTTTTGAAGGACTGCAGAGTGACGTCGCTGGTAGAGAAACATTGCTTCATATGGACGCCTTCAAACTGAGCGGCGTTATGGTACGACTTGTAGCAGACTTCCGCTACATTCACGCCATTAGTAGCGGAAAGCGATTCCCAGAAGCCACTACACGACAAGTTAGTTGCGGGATGCCGGGATGTTCTATTTGGTTGTATTATTGTACATACCTGTGACAACGGATAAGGAAGTCTCCAAAATCGCCACTGAGGAAATGCATATATAATTTGACGGTCATTGTGCAATGTATAGTGACAAATCTTTCTCTGCTCAAATGAGAAGATGGGTATGAACCCAAAATTAGTGCTTCCTTCGAGGTTTATTTGCAATTTCTTGCGTAAAAGTAGAAACTGCAAAAAATCGTCTGCGTGCATCTCGATGCACGGGAAATGACGGCTATTTTATTTCAGTTTCGCGGTTACTTAACAGCAGGTACCTGGCGAAACACGTCGTAGACCACTTGGTAGCGCTATTAAGCGACTCGGCAGTTGTCCGCTACACAGTACCGCTGCAATGACGCGCCACACAATCGCGTACCCTACCCCGCGCACCTCTGAAGCACTGCAAACACGCCTCGTGAGAAGCCTTAGGCAGAATTCCAGAAAATCGTGGAATTCAGCACTTAATGAGAGCGTTGCAAAAAGTGGAAAACAGCCCACAATTGCCTTGAGTGGCCAACCATAAATAGGTATTGTCTTTCACAAAATTCACTCCGATCATACAGGGCGAGTATTGTTAGCGAGTTGGTTCTAGTTGAGAACAGTGGCGGCTTGTCCGATGAGGCAAGTGAGGCAGTGCCTCACCTATAGATTTATAATTTGGTACGTTACGATTATTTATTGTAACGCCACCATAAATTTAAATCGTAGAACAAATTAAAATTAAAATTGCCCACGAATTTACTTTGTAATTGGCTGCGCGTCGCAGTATGAAAGCGCGAGGCAAATGTGCATCTGCCTCTACAGTTCCATATAATGAAACACTAGAACAACGTAAACTTTCCACGATACGTTTTTAAGTGCTGTATGTTGAACAAGGAACCATTTGAGGCTAGCCTCTGTCCGTTTAGCAGCTCAAGTGTAAAAGAGACGGAAAAGATTCGATGCAATCTCTCCGGAAAGACTGTCGTCGGGCGTTCTCGATTGAGGAGCAGCGAATCTAAACTGGGGAGAACGACGTATGCCGATTGAGTTTTATTATTTAATGTATGTTAGAATGAAATGTTACAAACATTCATATAATTTTGCGGTAGTGGAAGCGTCCCGTTCCTGATTTAAGTAAATCGTTGGAAATAAAATAAAGCTCTTATTAAGACCTGGTATGAAAAAATGATTGGCTCACACGTGACATTTATGGTTTAAATATCGCGGTTAAAATAGTCGCTACTTAATTGTCAAATAAATTTAGAGCTGGATTGGAACCGCCTGTAAAATTATGTAACATGCCCAACTGACAAGGAAAATTTCTTACAATGCTCATCAAAAATGCGCCCATGCATGGCAGTATACCTACACTGTACGTACCGGTGTCGTGTATCAAATACGAGTAGGTAACAAGGTACCTTCTTTTACTTTCAATGTCAACTTTAACATTAAAATATAGGAAAAAGCATTAATAATTTTTTTTAACTTTTGGAGTAAGAAATTGTCAAATTGTAGCTAAACTGATTTTTTCGGGGCCCCCCCCCCCCCATGTCCAGCCTCACCAGCTACGTAACTCATGAGCCGCCACTGGTTGAGAATGCCATAAGTGCCGTTATAGGACTATCATATGACCAGTATCATAACCAGTATGTTCTGAAGTTCTCCTTGTATCATAATGGCGTATCGCGAATGGCATATGACAGCTCTATAGTGACGCATGTTGCCGGACATTGGTACGAAATTACGCCCATCTGAAGGTACGTTTCCTATGAAGCGTCTGACGCGGAGTGGCAAATAAAACGCATACAACTGGGGACGGCCGCCGCATGCAGGTTAGGTCATTGCTTTCTATTGAGGCGGCGCATTGCTTGCGTCAGCCGCACCGCGTCAGACACTTCATAGGAAACGTAACTTGTAGAAGACAAAATGCGAGGGGCCCGTCAACATTGGACTGAGAAAAAATCGTGTATTGCCGCTATTCCGACTTAACAATGTGCATTAGCGATGAACGTTCAAATTTGACTTTATTATTGAATTGTTATTCCTTATTGCATTAACATACCTATGCAATTCTCCTCAAAAGGTATAAACAAACGAAAGAGCAAAAAGACAAAGGCTACGAATTGAATTACTTTTTTTTTATCCCCCTGAATGTGTGTGTTGCTGTAAATGTTGGAACTCAATAGAAACTCCCTTTTGATGTCCAGATTTGTAGTGTACCAATCACCCCATGTGAAAGGGGTGGAGGGAGCGGGTTCAAACACTAGAAAAATTAAATTGTTTATCTAGGAATCATTGGCACACAACTCAACCGAGTTGCTATGATATCAGCCCTGCTATCGCAACGCTTCTGTTTTATTAAAGTTAAAGCTCCAAAAAGTCGTGAGAGAGTAGAGAAAAGAGTATACAACGTTATTTACTCTATGGCAGTAGTAACTTCACCTCGAATAGTTTTTCAGAATAGCACTAGAATGTATATGTTCTTATCCTTAGGTACGATGCCCATCGATGATATTATTTAAAATTATTAATTGATGTACCCTATTCACCTGCTATCTATCGTTTGTAAGAACTGCAGATGGATTTGGAAAATCCACGAGGAGGGATAAAAGAAAAAGTACTAAAATTGGCTAAAGTTGACTTGAAAGGAAAAAAAACGTAAATCTCTTGGTACTTAGTATACCATTAATATACGTACAGAAATAATGACTGTTCAGTTTGCATGCAGGCGGATTCATTGGTGTCCAACACCCGCCAGCCGAACAAGTCAAAATATAATTCCCCTGCAATTCGAACCCTGGAAGACACTGATACGAAATTTGTGCGTTAATTGGATAGCGAACGCGCCCAGTTTCTGGATTTAAGTCGAAAGGGGATCCGTGCGCCACTACGGGTGGAGATGAACATTCTCTGGCAAGAACTGAAAAGAACACAATCAGTAAATCGATTACGATTGATACTCACCACGCACTTACCACAGTTAGGTAACATTCCAACCCATCGGCCATTTGTACATTTTAATCTTGTCGACTGGCACGGATTGCGGGCGTTACGATACTTCGTTGTACATTTAATTTCGACTTCTGTTCCCGGAAGTGCGGTCTCCAAAGATTGAAATCCCTGAACGACCGACGTTAGAGCGTGTGGGACGGTTGGCGCCGATGAACAAGGATAATCATCGGTGCTTTCTAAAAAGGTCAGCTTGATTAGTGATTATATTGATTACGTTTTTGTGAAGAATAATGAATGAAGCTAATCAATTAGACACCAAACATAGTTTTAATTGACTTAATGAAGCATAAAATTGTGGTACATGGTTTATAGAAAAAATATACAACATTGTAATTATTTCATTAAGAAACTTCATAGGTAGGAATTTGAAAACAATGTACGGGAACTAATAAATTAATAGCGAGTTAAAAAGGCATTGACAAGAAGTAATTTAAAAGCGTTTCAGGGCGATAACTCCAAGGGACAGTATGTTTTATGACCATGCCTATGCCTAGCTGATTACTCCTGTCCCTTGAAGTAGGTAATGCCACTATTTCTATATTTAAGGATTACCAACGATACCAAAACATAAATACACTATTTATGATGTTGTAGCTCTCATTCATTACAGCACCTTATTGTATCAGCTATTTACACCTACAGAGAAAATTTTAATAATTACACTTTAATATAATACGTGACTGAAAGCTCATCAAGTTCGCAGATCATGCTGTGATGAAAATAAGTCTCTTCTTATTTTTGTTTAATGACTGTAAATGACTTGCTAACTTTTAAGAAAACAGTAAGATGCAATTTAAATGGGGAGGTTTCTCTATAAATATTCCAATGCATGTGTTGCAAGAGCAGCAAAAAGAGATGGACAAGCGTTAAATAGAAAATCTCGCCTGAATTTTAATTAATAGTCGTTCGCACATTAGGAAATGATTTTATTAGAAACAATACTCCCTTAAATAAACGTAACATGCTGTAACGTCCGCCTTCGTGAATTTTGTCCGTACTTTTAACTCAAGTTGAATTTACATTACAAGCGCCGCACTCTTTGATTTTACCGCCTTGCTTCACTCATGATACATTTACAACGTGGGAGGGCTCCAAATATTCATTATTAATATCGTCGCGTTTGAAGTGTTCCTGTATCTTGCCATGTATTGCTTGATATAGATCCGTTGTCGCTCAATAAATTGATCTATGGATCATGAGGAAAATGTTAATTTAAATTTCCTTACGAATCCATCATATATCACTCTCGTTAAACAAGGGCTTTTGACGTTTAACAAGACTTAAAGTAAATTAGGTGTAATATTTGTATACGCTCTTGATAGATATGCTCTTCAACGCCTCACCGTCCAATTAATCACGCTCCTTACAAGATTCATTAACTAATGGCGTTTGACATGAAATGCAAAACAGACAAAAGGTTCGTCTTCTTTTTACCTGAACGCAACATGTATTTACAAAGCACTGCCTCCGACTATTAAAATCAAATTAAATGTACGTTAATTGGGTACCCAAACCACCAGATGAAACAAAGCTGTGGAGGCGTACAAGGAAGGAAAATACCTATAATTAAGAATACTGAAAGACTAAAATTAATAATAACAAAGGTCGGTAATGGTAAAAACAATCAAATTCCACACAAAATGTTCGGCAAATAATGCCAAAAACTTGCGAATATCCCATCAGGAATTCAATATTAACAAAAATATTTAGAATTTGTTGTAGGTACCTGCCGTCTTTTATTGTTGCCAAAAATTTAGACCTTGAAGTGCGCTTAACGGTGGCAAAAATAGTCGGCTATAAATATAACCATTTCTCGAAACTTATTCGTGACGTTATATAGTGACGTGTATGGGGTGCACCAAAAGTGGAACAATAAACAGACTCTTCTTCTAGCTATGAAAATAATTCTTGGCGGGACGCCCGCATGAATTCCGAGTTAAAAACTGTTCATTTATGGTGTGTAAAAGAAAAATAACGAAACCTCTTTTCTTGAACCAAGGCAAAGGCCATTTCATAGGCGGCTTAATCAGGTTATGCCCTATTGTTAAATTATGACAAAGAATTGCTATATTTTATTAATAAAAAAGACGTCTATGGGGTCACCAAAGTACCAAAATTTGAATGTCTTGATTAATTTCTTTTCTTCGACAACCTTCAACAAATTAACGGCATTAGCTTGGTTCTTGCCACTTGAATTTTGTAGTTTCCTACCTCAAAAATTCGATTATTAAAATCCAAAACAAACCTATATCCATGCATTCATCAGCTAACCGCATGCTTTGATGGAAGGTGGCTTTTCTGCAACTGTAAACGAGTAGCTGGAGGAGGTGAAGTACAATCTCTCACAGCCCACTGTTAGATATAGATTGGAAAATCTCCAATAACGCAACAATTAGCTAGAGTTGTAACTCCTAAAAAGGGCCCCTTGCTTCGAACATTCCGCAAACAATGAGCCCTATAAAGTGACCGAAAGTGGTACACCACAATTTTTACCGTTCAAAACCATACGATTTCTAAGAGGTAAGTTACAGTGTATACCGCAGTCTGATGGGAGTGATTTGATGCCACATACAACGGGAGGCCGGTGACGGATTTTTCGTTAGGTAATCAGAATTGTACATATTTTTTTAGAGTTAATATTAACTTTTCGTGGTATCATCTTCTCTATATATTTATCCGTGTAGGGTCTGGAAAGAATAACTCTACCGCAGAAGTGTCGTAAGAGGCGACTAAACAACAGCCAGCCGACCACGACAGCGACATAGCGCCGAACTTCCTAAAACTAATGGAGAAACATATTGAGCGACACTTAAGGGATGAGGTGCTGGGACCCGAACCCATCAGTAAACACCAATGTGCCTATCAACCAGGAAACTACTGTGAACTTGCTATCCACAGAGTAGTGGATGTAGCTGAAAGCACGATCCCCTGAAAGGACCTGACTCTAGGGACGTTTTTAGATATAGAGAGGGCGTTTCACAATACCACTCTAGAATCAATTAAAAATGGAAGCAAGAAAGTACATTCTACCGGATACATGCTAAAACAACAATATTACAGCCTCGCTGAACGACTCTCTCTCTCTCTCCGCTGCTGTGGTGTTTGGTGGTAGATGCACTGCTGAGGAAATTAAGTGAGACAATAGTAATTGTGGTACATAGCAGATTTGAGGAGACCATATCAACTGTGGTGTAGGGAATTTTAAATCTAGTGGAAACATGGTGCGAAGAAGGCTTTCTGTTAATCCAACAAAAACAAATCTCCTTCTCACTCCTCACTGGATATACCTACACTAAAATAGCTACACCAGTAATTACGTACTGCAATAATAATAGGTACTACTATAATCGAGTATGCATGGTGAACATTTTATCTGAAACACTGGGTAAGTTTTCAAAACAATTTTTTTTTAATAATTTGTTAATAGTACCCAAAATAATAAAAAGTTTGCTAGCAATTTACATACTCTGAATTTGTCAGTCGTCTACTTCATTCAAACATGGTCAAGAGGAGCATGTTTTTTTAAATAACAATTACTAGTTTTCATTACATATTATCATAGAGTACACTATTTTAGATGGAGCACCATAAAAACTTATTATATTACACATAATCAAATTTAAGAGAAAAACTTAAAATTAACGAAAATGGTTAATTAATTTTATAATTTTATTAGTTTAATTATGTGTTTTATGTTGTTATATTAACAAAAACTTCATTTTTTAATAATACCGTATTAAAAATAGCGCTTTCCATTAAACAAAACTGCCCTCTTAATTCTGTAGATGCACGTCACTGTAAATAACGAGGTAAATAATTTTTAAGCATAGATTTATTTATACATTTTTAATGATTTTTGATACAATAAATTGCTTTCACATAACCAGGGACATAACTAACAAAAGAATGACGATTTTTTTTAAAACAAACTAGTGAAATTATAAAACACACAACTATTTTCTTTAATTTGAGGATTGTTCTTAAATTCTTATAATATAATAAGTTATGTATGCTTTCAGCTTATTATATTATATAATTACATTACCTACATTATTTATACAGGGTGTTCCTTAAAGGCATGCTAATATTTAAGGGGGTATGTACGTATGTCCTAAACGTTTTAATTTTTGACATACAGTGTGGTAAAAAAATCTGTTTTTTTAATAACAGAGGTAATATTGTAGACATCTTTATAAAATTTAGTACATGTCTTCTATGCATCAAGAATCAAGATGCATTTTTTGATATGCAAAAGTTTTTATTTTCTCTACCAGTGGCGTCCGTACGGCTTTTGCATTGAATATTTTTGGAGAAAAAAATACTACGCCACTGCTTTCTCTTAAAATAAAATCCTCATTCATTTTTGAGCAAATTTGATTTTCTGGTTTTTCTTTGTCTGGCGCACGGTTTTTGCTTAAATAAATAAAAATCGATTTACTTCAGGAAAAAGGAAAACCAAAAGATCAAATTTGCTCAAAAATGAATGAGGATTTAAAACATAATTTTTATTTTAAGAGAAAGCAGTGGTGTAGTATTTTTTCTCCAAAAATATTCAATGCAAAAGCCGTACAGACACCACTGGTAGATAAAATAAAATCTTTTGCATATCACAAAATGCATCTTGATACATAGAAGACATATATCAAATTTCATAAAGATGTCTCTGTTATTAAAAAACGGATTTTTTTTTAACTTTCCCACCCTGTGTATCAAAAGTTAAAACGTTTAGGACATACGTTCAGAAGAAGTTTAAAATGGTTCCTAGAATCAAAATTAAGTAAAATACCTAGTTGTTTTATAATCTCACTAGTTTGTATTGAAAAAATCCAAAAAAGTATACTCTTTAAGAATATGTAACGAAAACGAGTAGTTGCCATGAAAACAATATGCCCCCCTTCACCATGCAGAAGTAAGCCACTGACCACAAATTTAAAGTAGGTACATAGGCAGTAAACTTTTTATAATTTTGGAGTTTCTTTAGAAAAAAATTTTGTTTTGAAATATGTATCCAGCGTTCCAGACAAGATGTTCGCCCTGTCCTGTAATTCTTTATTTTGTGCCATTGTTGTATAGTGCTAATACTTATTAATAAAACAAAAAATGAATAATAAATACAAAGTGGATTCCTGAGGCAACTTCAAGTAAAAATTGCCGCCAAAATCATTTTGAAAAAACTGAATTTGCATTCACAGTTTTCATGTTTAACGACTCCAAATTTTGTCAGGATCAGAATTTTGTTAGGATAGAGATTTTTTAAGTTCATACTGTAAAAAAAACAAAGCAAAGATGATAATTTCATTATGTTGTCCAGCGATTGACAAAAATATAGATGAAAGAAGACAAAAATAAACACAAAAGCATATACTCAATTTATTCAACAGCTTTATACACTTTATATTGTCACATCTTGATTACACAATTGATTGTTGCTAAAATATATTATACACCTACTTCATTTGTGACCTAACAATATCTTTGGAATTTCTTACATAATATTCGTACCTGTTATCTTCATTTCGAATTTGAAACATTTATAAATACATTAAATTTTTATTATAAATATGATTGAAATTCTCTATAGCATGATAATTTTGTTTTACAATGTGATATAATTTTATATCAAATTATTACATTATGTGATGATACAGAATTTAGTTTCAGTACCAAAATCAACTTCCAAGCTTCCCTCAACAATCCAATATGCTTCAGATACAAAAAAATAATACAATAAATAATATAATAGTACTTTCAGATCACATGCAGTTAAGAAACGACACGAAAAGTTGTTAGACAAATTGTTACACAATTTACATTTCTCAAAAAAAGAAAATAATACAATTACCTATATAAATTACTAATAATAAACAAAATATCACGTTTATATTCTACAATAGGAATGTATAAGATAAAAATTATCAAATAAATATAGCTTAAAATTATTTTATTTAAAACAGAGCATTTCAATTTTTCGCATTTCAATACTGATTATCACTTTTAACAAATATTTATAAGCCAATGATAATTGCACATTCTTCCCACAATATGAACAGATCCTCAATCAATTTTTTAAGCCAACAAAACATACATTGTGCCTATTTTAAGGGAGAGTAAAAAAGGGTCTAAGCTAATCTCTAAACTAAACTATAGATCACCAAAAGGATCGAAGCTGACTTCTTGTTTAGGTGGCTGTGTCTGACTACTCAACTTGGGGCTACCCATCATCGGCTGTACGCCCAATGGATATTGCATAGGAAGACCGCCCATCTGTTGGCCCATCGGTTTGTAGTTTGGAGCTACTGGTGCTGCTGGTTGCTGCCAACCTGTACCTGCAGGTTTTGCTTGATTTTTAGGTGAGTTCCACTGCATGGTCGCAGCTCTACCACTGTCAATAGTGAGATTTTCCGCGAGTGAGGCGAGGCTCGATTCCAAATCGCCGGTTAGTAACTTCTGTTGTTGCGGGGGGCGCATTGGTTGCGGTACCTGAGGCTGTGGAGGAGAGGTTTGCTGAACTGCACCAATTGGATCGAATACTGACGGTTCGTTACTATTAAACATATTCGTTAAATTGTTGCCGGTTGTGAAGAGATTCGGAGCTGGCTGCGTGGTAAAACCGTTAGCCCACATGTTGGCGGGTTGAGCCATCGACGTTGTTACGTTTGAGCTTGAGAAAAAGTCAGTGCTACTCACGCTGGCGGCGGTTGTAACTGATGTGGTAAACATATCTGCGAACGGATTGCCTAATTGAAGCAGATCGTCAATTGCTTTAGACGGCTGGTTGGTAGCTGGCTGAGTGCTGGTGACATCAGACCCAAAGAGATCCAAAATAGGCTCCGTCTTTGTTGGGGAACTCAAGAAAGGATTGGTGCTACCGGCCGTTGGAGAATTAACATTTGCCTTGTACTTACTTAAAGCGGCCTCTTCTTCGGCCATGGCGGCTTGTTTAACAGTTTCGTCAATTTGCGCATTGCTAGCAGCAGAACCGAAAGCGTTACTCGTACTGGACAACGCAGAAACGCCTGTCTTTATGTTCTTCTGGTTATTAACAGCTTGTGTGGGCGTATTTCCTTCGAGCGATGCTAGATGTTGCTCCAAAGCGTCTAAAAGACTATTTGGCGCTTTCGTCAGATCGGGAATGTCGCCTTTATCGATTCCTATATTTTCGGCTACCTTTAGAAACTCTCCCACACGATCCATTCGTATTAAGAACTTCTTATACAAGTCTAAAGCATCTCTACATTGCTTCTTGTTCATTTCGAAATACTTTTCTAACAAATTAATAATTCCATCATTATAACATGCGAATAAACGAATAAGATCTCTAAAAAGTAACATAAAACACACATTAATTACGCCATTCGTGAGATCATTGGCCGTACAATCGAATTCGAGCAACGCATCCAACTGATTTTGCAAGATGGGCAAAGTTTTAAGTAAGTGTTCCGAATTCATCGTCCTCAAAGTTCCCTCTTCTTTTCCACGCTTCACCTTGCAAAAGTCGAATGCGACAGCACGATATGATAGTGCCTTTTCGTTGATATAACGAGCATATCGTCTAATAAAGGGTGACATATCGTAGCCCGTTCGAGCACCTACTGCACTTTGAACACCTGTTTTATCAACAAAATTAGAGAGCTGAAACGACGTGTTACTTGATGCCAAGTATTGTGTGAACCTTTCGTTACCGTAACACATAAGGTGATGAGTAGTGATCAACGCTTTATAAACTACGACCCAGCTTGTGTTTTGTGACCTTTCGATTAGTAAATTTGCCATCTGTGGTATCGATACGTTCGGTTCGTTTGTACAATGTACTAAGTAGTCTAAATGTTTCTTTTTTGGCCCTAGTAATTCTTCAGTTGTGGCTTTACATACAGATTTAGCAAGTCCTTGTCCGGCTAAGCTGTGTTTGGCGGCAAGTAAACGATCGTTGATTGTTTGTCCTGCCATCGTTCAATTGTTCTATGTATCACAATAACAAAAAAACTCAGCTGTTCTCGCACTACTTTATTTAAAATGAATTTGATGGGTCGATCAAAAGAAACTGGCCGGTGAATCAATAAAACTGACTTACCGATAACGCACGCGCATTTTTTACCGCCATCTGTTAGAATAGATTCGAATGATAATGTGCACTTTTCAAAATTGCGAAATTTCCACGTACAACTTTAACGCATTGGCACTTTATTAGGTGTAAATATGTGCCAATTAAATGGATACTCACGTTCTCAAAATTCGGTTTTAAATAAAAACCGCAAGCGGAAGCGAGATATCTTATGTGGTAACGCAACGGTGGAATTCATTCGCCAGGACCGGATTCAAGACAGTTTAGCGCATCATTACGACACAAATACAGAAAATCTCCTCAAAAACGCGTGCAATGAATATTAATGCGTGCGGGATATAAAGATTCTTAATATCGTACATTCAGGAATCCCATGTTGCCTCTAAAAGACTGTTTTAATCCGTTCTATCGCGTATTCAAAAGCGTCTACCAATTAGGCTTTAAATGCGCGCATTTTCTACATCCATGATTAAACTTTTAAATGCCATTTTAGAACATTATTATCTATTTTCTGATGAATTGTTAGTGGAGCATTAATTAAAAAATGTGCACCATTAATAATGAGATTAATAAATTTGTCTCAATTACCTCGCCAATTACACTAATTGAAAACTGCGATATTAAAAAAAGAGCTATGGTAGCCGTCTTCCACGCCAGCTGTCCTCATTCTGAACTACATCAAGAATTCCCCCTCAGATCTCACTCCTCAGTGCTGTTCCTTAACGTAACTGTAGGACTTGAGTGATTACAATAATAAGAGGATGGTTTTCAAATTTACATACTTCAACCAGCCTGTTGTATGACAGCCCGAGTGAGAGCTCAAACCTAGGCTCAAACCGAGAAAGAAAACCTAACATCCCTTTAGTGTGTAAATCCATGAATATCTATAGACATCTTTGGACATCCTCTGTAATGCATGGGATATTCTTAGATTTATTTCCATGGATATCCTTGGATCTCCTTGAATATACTGTACATGTAAATGCATTTCAAAGCTGGGAATATAGCCCCTAGGACAAAAAACAAAATTCCGCCACGCAGGAGTTTCCGACGACACCAATTTGAAAAGAATCGGACCAAGACTGTAGTAGAAGATAGGAAAAAACTGAAAAACCTTCACGTTAGTATACTACGCTCGAGGATGACGCCCGTCGCCCAGAGGTCGCCAACCCCACTTCATGTAGCCATGTCCCTAAGGTTGACAAATTTCACGGCCTTGTAGATACACGTACACCCGCCCACATTTGCAGCCAGCCAGCCAGCCAGCCAGCCAACCAGCCAAAAACAGATTAAAAGCTACTTTTTCCAAATAAATTTGCAAAAATGCGCTAACAAGTAGGAATAATGCTCGGAATAATGTAAAGAAAGCATTATTGGCGAGATTATTGAGGAGCACGTTTCTTGACAGCAGTATCAGGATTAAACCTGAATCAAATATTTTTTTACCAACCGGCCCTTGAAGTTTTGTTTAAAAAAGAATTGATCGATAAGTAAGTTACTCAAATGTTGGCATATGCGGTAATTTTTTAAGTAGACATTATTTTACTCCTTTGATTTAAACAAAACGGGAAACAAAAACTTGAGATCCACAATTTTCGCATCCGTGTTGTATTATTGCTTCAAAATAAAAGTATTTTTCGAGCTATTTTTCTACCAATGTCTCGACCAAGGTATATACCGAAGGGTATCTCACTGGGGAAAAAAAAGTACCTACATACTGACATGACTCGAAATCAATTCCACTGATTTCCCCTGACTGTCTTATGATTTTTTAATATGGATTTGTAACATGACTGCAGTGTATCTCAGCTGTTTTCAAAGAGACTTGCGCTCGGACTTGCGGTTTTCGCTCAGGTTTTCGCGAGGGTTTTCGTGACCCTGTGCCACTTTTTTGTGAAACTCTTAAGACCACAAACAGAATCAATCTAGATACGTTTATTTCTGAACTAGAGGATGAACACGAAAACTGTGACTTTTTTTGGATATTTTGATATCTTAAGTCGAGGGGTGAACCACTGGTGAAGTATGGTGTACAAGTGTGATGAAGTCCGTGAAGTTCATATGAAGTTTTGGTGAAGTCCATGAAATATTGGTGAAGTTCGTGAAGTATTGTTGAAGTGCGTGAAGTACTGATGAAGTCCGTGAAGTATTGATGAAGTCCGTGAAGTACTGATGAAGTCCATGAAGTATTGGTGAAGTTAGTGAAGTTTAAGCGAACTATTGGAAAAATGCATGAGATTGTGGCGAAGTTTATAATCAAATCCCTTAACAAAAATCGTACGGTAGTTCAATTCACGGTTGTAACCACTAAAATTCGAGGTAAAATTAAATAAATTTCTGCGAAATAAAACTGAAAGTATAGATTAAAAAAATGAGACAGCGACTCATAGACGTACTGATAGTCCTTGCGTCGTATTTATGTGTAGGTACAAAGATCGTAAATTGTTTCCTTTTAAAAATTTAATAAATCCTTTCCTTTATTACCATCAGGTTCAGGTAGCTAAATAACACTTCGATAACACTTTTATTAGGTATATTAAAATAAAATCGACAGACGGAAAATTTGTCACGTGGATAGCGGCTTTTGTTTTCCTTAAAATTTCAGCACCCTCCACAACTTAGTACATCAGCCCCTTCCAAATCAAGTTTCTGGCCACGCCATTGAGTTATTTACGACTATAACGTCAATCCCGAGGTCAATACTATCCCACAAACAACACCATTAGCATAATTCTTGAAAATAATCCCCTAAAAATGCAACCTGTTGTAAAAGGATTAAGAGTTGCTTATTGGGTTCAGCCTGGTAATATGTTACAATACCTTTTATAAGACCTAAGCAATATTTTCCCGCTTATTTTGTTTGTTTTTTGAAATGAAATTTTTAAAAGAAGAATTGAACACTTATATGGTATAGAGCCCGATATCCAATCTGTTAATAAAATAGGTATATATTGTAACAGGACCCATTACATTAATAGGAAGTGAACCATTTAGTATAACTGCATAGGTAGGTATAACAGAAATTTGAAGCTTATAAAATCTTAAGTATAAATGGTGCACAACTCCTGTGCAGATAAAGATAAAGGGCCATTTTTTAAACCGAAATAGCTTAGTAAATGGTTGGGTTAGAAGGTAGTAGCATGTTATCGATATTTACTTTCTTAGTATTGATGGGAGGAAGGAGGACATTCAAAATCCTCCGACCCGATCGATTTTGCCTTTGAAAGTACTTTCCTCCGATAAACCGTTTTCGAGATATTCGCTCAATGGATATATTTCTTTAAGATGTCCCAATCGCCCTTTGTGAGTACTCTTCCAACAATCTGTTGTGGAGATATAAGGGAATATATCCAATCACGGTAAGGGATCGAAGAAGAGGACTATGGTTGGTAGAAATTAATTCCTTTCGTTGAGACCTTTAATTAGAATATCATGAAAGATAAAATACGCCCCCCCCCCGCGCCATGAACTGAACTTGAAAAAGAGTCGCGCGGTAACGTTATAGTTTGTGCAAACCAATTTATTTCGATGAGACCATGAAAGGTGGAACGGGTGTTTACCCCCCCCCCCTCCCCATTTTCAAACCGCAGAAGTGGGTCCGACGGGCGGGCAACAAACAAAAGCACATTTTTTTAAAATTTCTTAAAAAAAATTGATTCATTTCACTTTCGTCTATGTACTTACCTCTATGTATAAACAAAGTATGTTTTTATTTTACTTTATATTAACGTTTCGTTTTTGCCAAGTCCATGAAGTATTGGTGAAGTCCGTGAAGTATTGATGAAGTGCGTGAAGTATTGATGAAGTCCGTGAAGCATTAGTGAAATACGTGAAGTATGAAGTTTGGTGTACACGATTTTGCCTAGCGATTTACCCCTCGTCTTAAGTACTACCCTTGGTACTTCCCGAGGTACTACCCATGTACTTAAGATGGAAAAAAAAACATAAAAAAATGATATTTTTACGTAGAATTTTCTGAGATTTGGCCCAATGTTGGTGATTTTTAAAAGCAACACCCTGTAAATCTTAGTCAATTTTTTGCATTCTTGTCCTGATTACACTGACGTATCACAATCTATCTTTTTTTTTAATTTTAGCCATGAACCTCGCCATGAACCAAAGCTAAAAACCTTAATTTTACGGTTTTTAAATAGTAGGCAATGAATTCATCAAGATTTTGTTTTGTATAGTGTATCGTTGGTAACTAACGCAACCGCTACTAATCAACAAAAATGGCTGGCGGTAAAAACATGTCATTTCAAAAATTTATTTATTATTTTATTTTTTATTTTGCCTTTATTTTTGAGTGGCCGGGGTTTCAGTCAAGGCTACTCTACCAACCCAACCCACTATACATTTACAAATATCCATGCCCGAACCCGGATTCGAACCAGGAACCCTTAGCACCACAGTTCAGCTTTAACTGAACTGCGCCACACGGGCCGGCCTTTGAAAGATATGATATAATATAATATCTCGTATAATATATAATTAAGCTCATAATTAAGTATATACAACAATTGTGAAACATCAGGGTAATCAGAAAAAAGAATGCAAAAAATTTACGTTAAGATATACAGAGTGTGCATCTCAGTGTGCATTTATCGAGGCATTTATTTAAAAAGTACCAGCTTTGGATCAAATCTCAGAAAAGGTAGTTCAAAATTTTTTTTTACTATGCCACTGTCGAGGCCACAGCATTCTATGTAAAAATACCTAAAACAGCCAATTTTTAAATTTTCTCTATCTTATATGAGTAGTAGGATATGGTCAAGGATATGATAACATCTCAAAAAGACAAACTTTTTGATTTCACCCTGTATCTCAGAAACAAACGTAGCTATATTGATTCCGAGATTGATTCTGTATTGAGACTGAGATACACTCTCAAACCAAAATAGGACACACAGTACATTATACACTGCACCCCCTGTGAAAATATATAAATGGAGGTATAAATTCAATAATAATTAAATGCAGGAGTATTCGAAAAAACGTTCTGACTCGTTGATTGTGATTTTTTTTAATGGTAAATTCGAGGGTAAATTCATGCACCTATACAGGGTAGCCCAGAAGTAAGTTACTTATTGTACAATCATTATTTTTCCTATAACTGTTCAGTTTAGCTCACAGTTCGGCCCACAGAAAATTCCAAAATGAAATGATAAAGGTGGTGGTAACTTATTTCTGACTACTTTGCTCGCACCTCCCGATGTAGTATGAGGTTTTATGGACTAAATGCATCTCTTAACTAATTTGCGCCATTCTTTAATATCGCTATCCTTGTTCCTCACCGCCAAACTGACATATGAATATTAATATGATTGAATTGAAGTATTCAAACCGAGAACATAATCTCCTTGTGCTATCATTGTCACATTTGTTAATAACACATCCAATACCTCGTCCAGTACATTAAAAAATACACTCGGAAATACATCAAGAAAGAATAGTTCCAATCAAGGTTTCAACCTGGGATTTGTACCTATGTCACCATCTCTGTCACCATACACCATGCGAGACACCATGCCATACATTTCAAGATGTGCACAGCACCTTGAGAAACTCTCACTAAATTTAAGAAACTAATCTATTTGGACCTTTAAATGGAGAAATATGGCATTCCTCTAACAATGCAAGTCTTTGCTTCAAATTGTGGTGTGGTACCTACTTAGAGCCACTTATGCCATTTAACCTCTCATTTAACTTAGGTATAGTATATTAAAAATGTACTATCTCGATACTTTTCTTTAAGTACTCACCATTTGCATCCGGTAAACACAGAGGGGGGCGTTTCGGTGACCACGTTCCGTCGTCCAAGCACTGCTGAATTAATGGTCCAATTAACACATATCCTGTTTTACAACTGAAATGTAACCTCTGCCCTACACTGTACACTCCATCATAATCACCAGGAGTCTCGTGTACATAATAACCGTTTAAAATATCCTTCGCTGGTTTACAACCTAGTATTTTCTCAGTCCGAACACATGTTGCATTGGCACCTGTCCAAATTCCTTTCTCACACACGCGATAGTGACTCTCCGGCGGCGTTAACTGGTAACCTTCTTTGCACGAATAAATAGCTAATGCGCCCTTCTTATAAATTCCGTCACTCTGATTGCCGTCTAGTTGATAACGTCCGTTTGATATGTACGGAGGATGATCACAGCGTGCTAAACAGCGAGGCCTTACGGTTTGCTCCCATTCGCCATTCACGCACGGGATTTTCGGCGGACCCTCTAGATCGTACCCTACAGTGCAATGTATGTGAACAGTTTGTTGCTGCGAAATGTCATCCATTAACAAATTATCGACAGTTGTTGAAACCATTGCGTGTTCTACTTGACCATAGTCCGAGCACAAAGACGTTACGTTAGTTATTGGAGACAAAAAAGTCACTCCGAAGGAGAAATTCGAGAGGAAGAGCAGTAGGAAATTTAAGGTTAACTCCATTTTCGGTTTTTATAATATGTCTCCCATTAGGATTCGATTTTATAAACGTACAGTTCAATAGGGTTTTCTATTTTACGCATTATTCGCTGAAAATGTAACATCTAATTACCATTATTGTAAATTAAGGCTATTATTGTTTTGATAAAAACATCGATCAGCTGTTCTACTTCTATTGTTCAAGGTCATTTTGGTGCCATCTATTGGATGACACATTTTCAAATTCTACTTCTAACTTCCGTTACCATTTGCCTGTTTTCTTATTTTCTTTCCCATTGGGTCCGTTTTTTTTTATTCTGTAAGAAACCACTTCTTTCTTTTAATAACTTGGTACTGCTACTACTTATTTTGTTTTCGCTACTGGAAGCATTTCTAACCGCTAGTGTAGAAGTAGAGCAAAACTGCGGAAAGGCCGAAAATTTTTGGATACATTTCATTTTTAGCTTCCTAGCATGTGCTAGGTAGCTATTGCGATAGCCGTTTTTTGAACATTTCAAAATTTCATCAAATGTCGACGTTTTTAGACCATTTTAAGCAACTTTTAAAGAATAAAATTTTTAGCTTCCTAGCATGTGCTAGGTAGCTACTGCGATAGCCGTTTTTTGAACATTTCAAAATTTCATCAAATGTCGACGTTTTAGACCATTTTAAGCAACTTTTAAAGAATAAAATTTTTTTCCGTCTGTATGTACGTACGTAGGTACGTTTGTTGGCAATTTTCTGAGAAAACGGCTCGACGGATTTTGTTGAAATTTTGTATATATGTTTTAGGCATACCGAACAGAAAAATAACGGGCCGGATTTTTGAAAAAAAATTTTGGAGCGCCGTAACGGCATCGAACTTTTTTTTTTCAAATGGCAACCTAAAATTTTTATTCTATTATTTGGAAGACCTTATTTTCCTGTGTACAACCTACAAAAAATTGGGCCGGGTTATATTATCAAAAAACGGAGAAAAAAATTGTCAAAGTCAAAAAATTGTGTTGCATATGTGCAAAACGCAACGATCTTGTTTCTGAAGCAATTTAAACGAAATTTCTATGGTAAGTCCCTTTAATAAAAGCAAACAAAATTCATGCGCAAAAATCGTGTTGCGCATGCGCAGAAATGCAATTTTCTTATTTATGGAACAATTAAAACGAAATTTGGATGGTAGGTCCTCCTAATAAAAGCTAACAAAATGCATGCGCAAAAAATAGTGTTGCGCATGTGCAACATCCAACTTTCTTATTTATGGAGCAATTTTAACGAAATTTGGATGGTAGGTCCCTCTAATAAAAGCAAACAAAATGCATGCGTAAAAGATGCACCTTTCTTATTTTTTCCGTCTGTATGTACGTACGTACGTTTGTTGGCAATTTATTGGTTTCAGCTAGGAAGCTATTCTGTCAAGAATTTGACACCTGGTTTAAATAAAATATTAATGATCTATGATGGCTATGGTTTTCTCAATCGAGTCAAGTATCTCTGAGTTGGTCTGTTGCATATAACTAGATATTCTCCGACACTTTTAAAATTTTTTTCAAAACTTTTCTTTGAAAAATACATTATTTGATTGATTAAATAAACAGGTTTTCACTTAATAAACCCACTGCTTTGCATTAATTCGTACACAATTTTGCATGGGAGGGACCTTTCAGACTCCATGGACCATGGTTGCTGATTTTTGCCCCCCCCCCCAACCGTTATTCACTTCCGACGTCGCGTCGCGTTAAGTGAAAAATTAACGTTATAGGTATTAAATGGTTTAAGGGTTGAAAAATTTGCAATGAATTTCAAAAAAACCAAAAATCAAAATTTACTCAGGGCTGCTAATTTCTATCAATTTAACCAATATACAATGTTTAGAGTGCTAATACCGAAAATGAATCTAAAACATCAGTAGAGGGTTGAAATGGGAATGTATGAGGAAAGCAATATGTGTATCATGCTGCTGAAGAAAAGCAAAACAGAAAAGCACAGGCAATTGACAGAGGTAAGTATAACTATAAATAAAGTTTCAATTAAACCTAAAAAAATATGCTTACGCAAATGAATAATTTTAATTTTTTTTAATTAATTTTGTGTATTATTTATTTCCATAATTAATAATTTTAATTTTAAACCCTTAAAAACCGAAAAAAGTGGAGCCGGGAGCGGAACCATTACGAAATAATTCTACCTAGTGTAGAACCGGCTATTTTATATGGCTTCCAACCCCTGCTTCGAACTCGCAATTTTTTGTATGCAAAATTTAGGTATATATAACGTAAAAAATTGATTTTTTCTCGTGACTCTATTATATCTTTGAATTATATTAAAACAAATGAGCTAACTTCTAGACTTTTTCGATCCTTTTTAAATTCAGTAGATGACATGCATCAGAGGAGTCTGATTATATACAAATGAATTACGCCGCTTTCGGATGAAGGTGAAGTGGGCGGCTTAGTTATAACACTTTAACAGAAATGATACTTCTGGTCCCTTTTGTTTTAGTTCCACTGATTATTTCCAGTAAAAGTTTAATTAAAAATAGAGGCTGATTAGCAAAAAAATAATGAACCTGTCCGGTTTATTCAAAACGATATGATTGTAGCGGAGTCTGTTACGTAATACGCTCGACCAATCAGATGACATAACGAATTGGCAATATTGCAGAGACCCTCGCACAAGGTTGCCGACTCACATCTACGTGATTCGTTGTAGGTTTGTGACGTATTTAAACTGTGTTAAAAGTGTTTCAAATTCGGACTAAATAAGATACAGCTTTTCAATAATTTACTTTACTCGCAAATAAAAATTGAAAACACCTGCGTCTTTTTATTTTTAATGTACTTTGAAGATAAGAAATAAAAAAGGAAGCCGGGATGTCCCCATTCCTTTTGTTGAGACCTTTAACTAGAATACCATGAAAGTTAAAATTAATTGAGCACATTTAATACACTGGAGATCTCTGTAGCACAATGGCCTACCTTGGAAGGTAGAAGGTTACTGGACATCTTAAGGACAAACGCGGGACGCAGAATCTAATTTGCCTGAGCCAATTATTACTTGGTTGTGTTAGTGTACCAACTTTTACTGTTATTTATTCTTCCTTGTGTTTCCTAAGTAAATATTTTAAATAAACAACAATTTTTGAGCATAGATAACTTTATTTATTTAATACTTTTTACACTCAGTGAACAATTATAATGGCTTATCACAGCCAAAGTCGTAACACAGACTACACAGCAGGTTAGACATCTTGAGATCAGTTATACAATAGGTAAATAATAATTTTAACTGTAAAAGATTATTCAGAACTGAGCTTCAATACTGCGTCAATCATAATAATACTCCAAAACAATTTGAATTTTTCAAAAATCATTTCCAACACTTTTTCAGTGTTTGAACGTTTAAGGCTGTAAAATTCCTAAAGTGAAATTCAAATTGTTTTAAACATTTAGATACTAAGTCAAAATGTTAACAAAAGCCTAGCCCATTCATACTTTACACATATAAAATCACCAAGTGTTCCCATTCCTTAAGCCAAATTAAAATTTATAGTTGATTTAACATACTTTAGGCAGCCTCAAATTGTCATGGTAATTTATGTGTACTTATTTTTGAGCAAGTATGTCTATATACTTTTTTTTTAACAATCAGATAATTATATTTCGTCTGTACAAAATATCACAACATGCATTTGATGTGTTTCATTTGTTTTATTATATTTTAACGCTAGCCTCCACTGTTCAAACCACCAAAGTAATACCAAAGAGTTACTCTTTGGTAATACCACAGTCTACATATAAAGCAGTCGTTTCACTTCATGTCGGCACCATGTTTGTGACACCAAAAATGTTACTCTATCAGATCTTCCCAACGCAGATTCCGTAATTTAAATTAAATTGGGCGCAAAGGCAAAAGGTGTCTTTTTGAAAGTATATATAGTTATGTGTCGAACTGTTGCACATATGCGCCCGTAAAATTGAAACAGAAAAGTAATGGGACTGGGACGACTGCTTTGTACCTATCTAATCTGTGGTAATCTAACAGTTTACTAACTAAAACTCTGCATAAGACCACATTATACAATCACGTGGCGGTCAAAATGAGATTTAATCAAGCAATCACAGATGTGATAAAAATTGTTAAACTCAAACAAATGATGAATGCATAAAACTACACTCAATGTACTAATCTGCTATAGAAATAATATATTGAAAATAAATAAGGGAAATGAACATATGTTAAAAGATAAGCCAGTGTCACTTGTGTAAGTTAATTATGACCAATTGGCTGTAGGATCAATAATAACTGTGTATATAATTGATTCTTACCCATTAATTACAATTAATATCATGCAAAAACAGTGATATTTGAGCAATTATAAATATGCTGTTTAAAATATGAAAAGAAAAATTATTTACAATAAATTATTATAATTGTATTAAATACAAAAATTCATCTACACACACAGTGCCTCCATAAGGAAACAAATTCATTTACAATTACTGGTCAGAAGTAATGTCCTCCCTTAGAAACTGCAACTGTAGAAAAAGTACCAATGTGTCAGTTTCTCCCTCGGTTTCTCCGTGATTTAGTTCAATTTCATTCCAATCTTAGGCATTTTCCTCATGTTGAAAAGAAGCTCAAATCTCACAGGAGATCCGGTATATTAATTATGTGCTACACTTGAGATAATCGAGGGACATTACTTCTGACCAAAACCGTACATGAGTATTAATTTTTGAAATGGAACACGTTGTATACATGGCATTGTACAACCGGAAACAATTTATCGATGCCATGTCTTATTACAATTGAGAGTCAAACTGTTTGATTATTTCAAGGTATCTTTGAAGTCAATAAATTGTTCCCAATCGCTACCGCCCATACTTTCTGTTGTGTATTGGTCTATTACGTCACATTTTGAAAACCGTCGATTTTTCTACAATATAAAAACCGGAATGAAGTTGTTCCTTTTATGGAGGGCAATGTACAATCTACCAATACAAATTATGTGTGATACTGTAAAGATATAAGCGTTTACTGTGTTGAAAGTGAATATGTTCAACCCACCCCTTATCCCTTGCAATCAATAAAACAACATCAACCAACAGAGTACAATTTTTCTTAAATTTTTATTTCATAGTGATCTAACTTTGCTTCTAGGAATGTAACATAGGAAATTTACCATAAAGGTTTTTAAAAAATTATATTAGTACTATGGCCCTCCCCCCTCCCTCCGCCGACCAGTGTGGCGTCATTAGAATACAAAGAGTGGCGGTATTTTATAAACATGATACAAGTTGTTCACGATGATGACAACATTTTTATTTACACAGTATAAGCCAGTTTTGAGTAGCAAGATTATTTCCTCAAAACAATGGGTCAATGGGCGCGTTCATAAGACACAACTGTTCTGGAACAGTTACTGATACGTCTTACAATTAGGTCGCTACTTTTACGCTCTTTATGGAGCAGTCGGCCATTTTTAGTAGCGCTACATACGTCAAAGTAGGGAACGTGACATAAGACCCCCCAACTGTTACCGATACGCTACGAGGTAGCGTAGCGGTAACTGTTGTGTCTTATGAACGAGCCCAATGGAAATCTGAGAAAACACTGGCACCGTATATTCCACTCACCATTTGCTGCACATACTGAAGTGCGCAAGTTTGCATAATAATGCAAAATCAAAATGTTATGCGGATAAAAGCCCACTTTTGTGTATGCAATTTCGTTAAATTTAAAGTGGTGATTATTATGTACATGACATTCTGAACGTTATCAAGTTGTTTGTGTAAGTGAAGAGGAGATTTATACCAAACTGGTTGGTGTTGGTGCATTATTCATGTGCCCCTGACAACCTGTATGTATAAGTTACCAGAGTATAATCCACATTTTAGAATTTATGGAAGTGCTAATTAGAAGAATGATTCCAATTTTGAAAAAATCGTTACCCTTTGTTAATAAACCCAGTATAACATTACTAATAAATTAAGAAACATTTCTTCACTTTTTGGTTTATATAAAATTTAAAATCTTTTTTAAGATTATTATACCTAGAAAAATTCATCACAAGTGCATAAATGCCATTATTACAAAATAATCGCATTATAGGAACATTTATGAAAACCAATGAATTCAAATAAAATAAAAAACAACTAAAAGGCCATAACTAAGTATCCTTTTCTGGTGATTGTTTTAAACAAACCTCCATCGCTAACTTTCCGGCCAGTAGTGCGTGTTTTTCCATCATATTCCACGCGGTTGCCATTATAAAAGTAAAAAACAGAAGAATCGTAATAACCACTCTTACTATGTGGATTAGCACTGGTTGATTAAATGGTGTATCCATCGCAATTGTAGATATAAAAAGCAAAAGCAAGCCGGCAGTGAGAAACCAATAGACTCGTTTATGATTGACTAATATCTGAAGTGCAGAATTGCAGTTATCGATACATTCGGTTAAAACCTTAGCGCGTGTCCTCAAATCGTGATTTTTTGTTGTGCCTTCTGTTTTGGAAATTTGAAAAGTGGCGGCTAGGGCTTCATGATCTGAATAACTGTAGGTGCAACCTGGTACACGATTGGGTAGTGGACGACAATATCTTTTCATAACTACTGAAGTATTTGAGCCGGAATTATACAAAATGTAGTCTATACGTTTACCGGGATACTTTTGCTTGATTAAAGTCAAGTTTGTGTACGAATTATCTGGTCCTTCATTTGTGTAGGAGGGTTGTTGAGCATCCTTGTCCGCTTCGTTAAAGGCATCGGTAAATCCGGTCATACTCATTAACAATCTAAAACACAACAGATTTCAATATGCGACAGTTGTAATCTCACACCAACAACTAAACTCTTGGCAAGTAAATGTCAGTAAATAGACTCGTCAGTTTTGAACATTTTTTTTTATCATTCTAATAACAAACACAATATTACCCTGTATCATTTTATGGCAAAAATATGTCTGCCTGTCCCTTTTAAACTATTTAAAAATCATTATTTATGCCAGAAAATCATTGAAATGCATTGTATACATGTGCAAAAAATCTATTTGAAATATTACACAGAATAAGATCTGATGTGGTATATAATTTTGACAGGAGAAATCAAAACCGTTACTTAATTACTTAATTTGGTTGAGAAAACATCCAAACTTATTAAAGTGATCTTCAAGTACTAAATCTTTTGCACTTCACAAACATAAATCGCTATGTGTAGGCGAATTTAAAATGTGCAAATTTACATTTTACAAATTTATAATTATTATCATAGAAAAAGTTGCAATGCTGCGCTTCTTTATTACCGCCAGCGGGCGCATCGTTGCCATCGCGTTTGTTTCACAATACCTACGCGCATTATCCTAAATCTGAAAGTATACCCGATGTCAGCTCGACCACGTAACAAATGTTATAGAGCAAGATCCCATGGCCGCCAGACCTTACTAATCTCCCGATGGATAAAATATGTAGAATAGGGTAGTATTAATGTATACATACCCCCTAACTCCAATGGCCAATTATCAGGTTCCAGGTGCTACAGGTATGTAAAGATTGTACTCACTTTAGTGTTATACTTCTTTAAAGGGCTTATTCAATGGTAGTAGTCCATTATTTTTAGGAATTTGAATATGAATTTAGTTTGAAGTAATTGTAATATTCCTAAAGGAATCGACCTATGGGAAACATTTGCATGAACAGATTTGTATTACATTTAAGAATAAGAATCGGATCCAAACAAAGGGTTTGGGTTATTTTGATTCATTGATTGGTGGAATTTTGCGTTTAATTTTGGTGATACCATTCCTTTGGTTGGATTAAAATTTTGAACAAATGTACCATAATTTATTATGGGGTAAAAATGAATTTTAGATAGATTCTTATTACTAGAAATACCAGTCCCTACGGGTCTGTGTGATATCCTACATCAACCATCTGCATTAGTCTGGCGAAGTGTAGAAATGCTAGGACCGGAAATCAAACTCGGGCCGCCAGCGTGGCAGCTACAACGATTAGACGAACGACGTCTGCTAACATCTTAATAGATATGGATGGATTATTGACACGTGATCACAAGATAGACATTTGTTTTTGTATTTCTTCAAACCAATATTTAAAATCTAACGTCTAAAGGAAAGTGGAGCTTGATCGCCTTTGTTCTTATTGATATATTCAATTAACTAAAATCACATGCATATTCATTTGAGTTCAATCAAACCAGAGCATTAGATTTTGGATTTCATGTTTTCAGAGGAGATAAATGGTCAAACTTTCGCAAGGTAAGGGGTATAAGAACATTTTTTATTAGAGCTAGCTAGTGCTAATGCTAGTGGAATCATCAACCCTTGCAAATTCTTCATATTCTATTAGCCAGTTTGAACTCCACCATCAAGAAGATCTTGTTGGGGACAACCACATTCGCTTTATCGCTTCCGACGTCCCATTCACCTTCAATTCGCATTTTTGTGGATTTTTCTAAAAACCCTCCAAAAATAGTACTGAATTTTTGGGGTACTTCTCATAGCTCGTCCCATTGGCGCTAGCTCTTAGGAAACTTTTAGCGCCCAAAGTCGACTACCCCTCGAAGACGAGCGCCTTGCAAAAGGGGGCTAATTTCGCCCCTAAGAAAACAAAAATTCCGCCACACAGGATTTGTGGGCGTGTTTAAAAGATCTTTCCGACATCAATTTGAAAACAATGGGTCCAAAATTGTAAAGAATTGGAAAAACTGACAAATCACCACGTTAGTATAACACGCTCGGGGATGGCGCCCAAATGTCGCCGAGCCTCCATCATGTAGCCCTGTCCTTAAAGTTGTTAATTACACACCTCCATAGGTACATGTACACTCCTAGTCTTTCTACTAAGCGTCCTTCTACAAGCAAGCATTTGCTGCCAGCCAGCCGGCCGGCCAAAGTGAGATTAAAAGCTACCTTTTTACAAATAAATTTGCAAAAATGCGCTAAAAAAACACAAAATTGATGACAATCAGTGATTCTTCCTTAAAAACCACGCAGATACAAAATCTAACTTTGTGGGTACAAATTAGTCTTTAATTAGCCCTAATTTACAAGCACACTAATTTCAAATTCCTAACACTTAGGGGCGTCCGCGTCGGCATGTGATTCTTGTTGGTACAAGGTGCTTACAAATAAGATAAATATTTACTTGATTATTTCTTGGGTTTTTATGTTGATTTACCTTCAATTTTCAGTATCAATTTATTCATGCTTGACTTTCGCTCCTTGCACTTTTGACTTGCCCTAAGCCTAACATTCTGAATTAATTCCATAACATTATCATAGTCTGATGATTTTTCGGTTTTCTACACCATTACCCAAAAACAATATGTAAAATTTGCATTCAGGCAATCACCATCGGAGGTCTTATTAAAAACTACATTTGTAAATACATTCCCTGCTCTCTACAACATCCCCCATTTTCAACAAAACAAAACCAGTGTAGGAATGCCATGTGTTTAGTTGGATGGTCTGAGACTATACTGAAATAATTAAACAAACCGGTGAGGTAGATCCCCTGGTTCGGTGTTAAGATCACCAGCTAAAACAATAAAATCGGCAGCCCCAGAGGTTAACTGAATAAATTGAGCAGTATCGAAAACTTGTAGCATACGATGAGTTTCATATTCGTCACATGTTCTGTTATATTCCGCCAGTAACTAAAATTTTGATGTCAACTTTTTGCATCCACACGACACAAACTTACGTGAGATGTATAGATGTTAACACTAAATCCCTTAACAATAACCCTACACATCGCTATACCTTTGCCTGCAAACCAATCTCCATGTTGAATCTTGTGTATGTAACCATTTAAGGGCCATTGATGAAAGAAAACATCTTGTAATAAATATTTTGAAAAGATACAAACTCCAGAACCAATGACACCACTGAAATGCACATATGAGATTCAAAAATGTGAGTCGGGTGTCTCAATACCTATAAAAATAATGAGAGAAGGGATATGTGGACACTACTACGTCTCGTATTAAATTATAATCTGCAATGGCCCATACTTCCTGCAAGCAGACCACATCATAATCAGATTTCCCCAAATATTCGGCAATTGAGCGCATTCGGGGTAGCACATCCTTCGAGATAAATGGGATGCCCCTGTTGGAATACAAATCGGTAGATACAGAGAACATATGGCAATTACATTTACGTACCAACAGTTTAATGTAAGAACTTTAAATTCAATTTCCATTATAAAGGTAAAACCAAATAATAAGTAAATAAATGGATCAAGAAGTCCATCAACAAAATTGAAAATTTGTGTTCGTCACTTGTCTCCCACCGCCTTGGTTCGATGTGGCTAACGTGCCAACAACTAACGTAAACGTAACGAGCTATGTACATGGGAGTAGAGACAGGAAGCGATAATATCTACGTCATAGAAATTTCCCTGATTTAATAATATTTATCCGAGTTTGTGGTTTTTGATTGTAATTTTTACACTAAATATACGGAACTAGAGGTAATCAAAATTTAAAGTTCAATTTAAAAATTAAAAGATAAAAAGTGTAAAATATTTGGCATAATCACTTTCGGCCAAGAGCCAAAAGTATAGCGTCTTAACGAATCACGATTTAAGCTCCTGATTTCATAACAATGTATTAGAAACTTTTTGGGTTGAAAAAGATATTCCGTAATTTTTCTATAACGAAATTTCTCCAATTAAATTTAAAGATATTTTTTTTGCCAATTTAATTTTTTTACATCAACCATTAGAAATTGTATTATACAAGTTTGGTAATTCCTACCATGCACTTTTAGTGAGGGCCTGGTTATTCGTCGGAGTGTTATAAGGTGTAATCCACGTCGGAATGACTATCATTGTTAGCGAGAATTCATCATCTGGTTGATATATAATATTCCTTCCTAATTTTTCGGCGAACAATCAGACTCAAAGAGACCACTGGCAATAAATAGGTAAATACATTTCACACCTGTTTAGTTTTCATCATTTAGCTATTGTGGGGTCAAAGTGACCTAAGTATATCCCGTCCGGTATCATGCCGATAAAATGCAACCCGAGGTAATATATACCATATATAGCGGATAGCCTAAACATCTATAAGAAAGAATGGGAACGGACGAAACTTACACTCAAAAACAGATTTCCACAGTGGTACCTATATACCGCTGGCTGGTTCAAAAGATGGGAAACGAGGATAAGAATTTGTGACCCCAACTCCCGCACCTTTGAACCCCTAGGTAAAAATCCCATCATCTTTCAAGCTGAAATTTATACCACCAACCTCTGCGTTCTCAAAATCCTTGTTATGGAGAAAAAGTGCCTGTGATTTTGAGCTGATCTGGGAGTGCATCTGCAACCGGAAGCAGATGGCAATTAAAAACCATTTTACTTTAGTGGGTTCTAATGCATTCGGATATTGCAGGTAACATAAAGGAAAGTGATCTGGCACAAATAGGTGCTAAGTTTATGCCAAAGGATCCAGAGCTTTATTGTGGCCATCAGAGGTATCGCTTCCGTGACTTTGGTAATTTCCGGTTCCGGTTTCAGTTTTTCTTTTGTTTTTAAGAGTACCAACATAAAATAGGCGATGATAGTTCCGTTGCAAGCTCACAGTTCCACGATTTACAACGGTCGATTTTATGCGGGTTCCAACCCAAGCCTGCGCACAATGCACGGTTTCGATATTTTTCCCACATCGGCGATTTTTTTGTCGTAGAGGTTCAAAGCGGTGGTTCTCCTTGCGTTTACAAGTCAATTGTCAGAGAACATTCCTCGACTTATGCGCCGCCTCTGACAACTTTTGGTACTACGCACCAATCGACGCGTACGGCCTCACTTCTCACATGAAACAGGCTCTCGACTCTCGAGCTGTGTATATGACCGTGTCCGCACACCACCTTTTCCGCTACCAAGTATGACCATTATTTAAACAAGTATGACTATAAAATTAAAATATCATACAGAGTGCTACCTAAAATCCTACACTAGTTCAACCTACAACTGCAATTTACGCAAAGGTTCTAGCCGTAAAAATCTAGAATATAAATCAAGCCTTACGAATACGATAAATACATGGATTAATACGAAGTTTGGCAAAAAACACCACACCATACATACAAAGTGTATCGTAGGCAAAATCAGACGGCATTGTGAGGTATGGGGAGGTGAGACACACTTAACAGGGTGGTGAGACACAACCCAATTTAAAATTTCTAACCAAACACCCGCATCGACATCTTTTCCAAGTTGCCGGTTTTGCGTCTTTTTTGTTTTTTCGTCAAGGTCTTTTGGAAACGCTCTCAGACTGATAAGTATTTACTTGATAAGGTATTATACAAGATCAATTTTATTACATTGATTTACTGTAGTTATTTAGTTTGGATTATATCGCTAGCGATATGAATAAATTGGTTATTCCACCTTCGCCTAATTGGTTTGCGAATAATGTACTCGCATGTGCTTCTGATAACACGGTCGTATATGGTTCAAGAAATGAGATTGTTGTAATCAAGCCCGCACCACCGGAAGAGCCAGCCGATGTTCAAGTTTTAAGCGGCATTCACTCCACAAGGTTTGTTTGTTATTGTTATTAATTCTAGACTTCTAGACATAGATAAATTGAAACGTTTGTAAGCAAATTGTATGTGTGGAGCATACGATTGTGTTGTGTGGAAGTAGTTCACAAAAAATAAAATTTGCAAGGATGGTAAAAATTATGCAGAGTGCACCATATGCAAGTTTTGTAACTGAATGAAAAGATCAAAACAAATGCAGTTGCCCTTAAAGCAAAACATAACTTCCCTGAATTGAAATCCAGTCTCGCACACTAGAATACCAATGCGTGGCCATAAGCCCACAATGAACACAAATGCCAACATACACACGTGCATGAATACGACACGGCTCTAACAGACCAGTAAACACATGCACAAGCGAAATGTCTACATAAACAGAACCGCTAATTAGGGGCTTTTAATAATAATAATAATGTTTATTAATCAAATAGATTACAATTTCTGGATATAGTCAAATTACCAGTTCATAAAGTTTTTTGACAATTCCAGGTTTACCTGATTATCCCGCCTTGTCACCTTGTAATTAAATGAATGTATCGGACAAAATATCTGCCCTTGGTGGCCGATATTAATATCGGTATCGGTAGATCCATAGTAAGAAAATTATTGGAATTAACATCATTTTTGTAAATGGAACATCGTGTAAAAAAGATTAAAGATTTTTGAATTGTTTTAAATTCTTTTTTGATCACTAAGGCAATTTTGATTTTTTAAAAATTTTTTAGTGTTACATTTTTTTAAAAAATGCTATTTTTTTAGATAATTTACAGGGTGTTCCATAAAAATGAGCTAAAGTCCAATATATTTTTCACCTGTACTGACCCCGTAAACTTAATTTTGAAATGCCGGCCTGTGTGGCGTAGTGGCGTGGAAGCTTGATGGCGACACTCAAGGTAGGAAAACACATGCGACACGGACGCCACGCCACGCTGCGCTTGTGCACGAAAGTAGGCGCTTGTGCACGAAAGTAGTACATTTATCACTCTGTATAACAAGATACATTTCAAACTCAAAAAATGGAAAAAAGGTTTTCGCCTTAAGGCGAGTAACTGTAACGAATTGATCAGTACTTCCCGAAAGGTCATGTAACGGACTATTTATGCGCACACCTGATGTTTAAAATATGCGATGTTTGCCTTTGCTAGAAGAATCTTTGGTTAAAATTTCAAATGTATGTACGTATGTATCTATAAATAAGAACAATGGCATTGCGCAGTTTGCACATGCGCACGTTTAATTTTCACAATATGCGATATGCTTGTCACTAGAAGCATCTCTGGTTAAAATTTCAAAAAAAGATCTACAAATAAGAAAGATAATGCATGCGCAAATTAATTGTGGGTTGCCCCTCGGGATACCCTCTACATAAAATATTTCATGAGGTGCAAATATGTATAAGTAAATGTTGAGAATGGCAATTTATCATCTCAGTTTTGCGATACTGGTTGTCTGTCTACGCGAATATCCATTGACGTCCTTTGAAGTTACACAGGAGTTGACATGATCCAAGGATGCTAGCCAGATCCCTATGCTTGTAGTGTTGTGCCCCTTATGTGGCGTCATCAACGGACCTACAGTATTTGACTCGTCCGCCATTTTGGAGCTCACTGACAACCAAATTTGTGCACAACAAAGTTTTTAAGGTATAAGGTCTTATCTTTATGCATTAGTAAACGTTGAAAAAATCAATGGTTTTTCTGTAAATAATAACACAATACATGCAGGACATGGAACGTTGTGCAAGCATCAACTGTCAGTGTCACTGAGCTTATAACATGGAGAGTGTAAAGTCTGCAACTATCACAATAAACTTTTTATGATAGGGGGCGCTTTAGGGATGACTCATCTCGTGACAAAAATATGGAGGTTTTAGTTCCCCCAACCTCTATGACAGTCATTCCACGTCTCTTCTTGTGCCTATACAAACATTTTTGAAATTTTTGAAAAATCTTTGAAACACAAATCGACAGAAAAAATAATCGCTTTAATAGCCAAAGCATGCGGCCCGATCCACAAGTGACTTTACAACCCCCCACTATACTATACTATATTATAATCCTATATTATGCAGGATGTTACATTATAAGTATCTAAAAAAATTGAGTGATAGTGGGGATCCCAATCACAAATTGGAATATGCGCCTCCTCCCATCCTAGTCATTCCATTCCAGGTCTTTTGAGCTTTTTTTAGGTATGCCAATATCATTATTGCAGATTCTTTCCTACTGTAAAAAATGTCACTCTAACGAAGTGCTATTTCTAGGGTCACTTTTGTATCATTAAATACAAACTGGGGCAATCCCAACAAATGGGCCGTTTCAGTCGCCGAAGACAATGTGGTTCAATTACTGGACATCGCAACATGCACACCCAAAATCTCCCACGTAGGTCATAAGGTAAGTCCTGTATTGCATCAACCTTCGCAGACGTATTTTTTTGTAGACTCATCCTCATAGATTGATAGGTGCTGTATTTTGTGGAGAGGACAAAGTTGTTAGCGTTTCTGAGCATGGGATTATAATTGTGTGGAAATTGTCTACCAACAGTTTGACACCAATACATACCATGAAAGGAATGTATGTCAAAGTCTCCACACTCAGTAGCTGTCCCCACGCACCGTGGATCGTTGCTTTTGGGCTTAAGAAAGGGGGAATTATTGTCATGGATATGAAAAGTGAGTAACACCTCCTGATTATGTAACTTTGAGCTAAATGTTTTCAGAAATGGGGAAAGTGCTATTCAAAATCCACGCACATGACGACGAGGTAATTTCTCTAAGTTGGTGTCCTACGCCTTTTAACATTTTCCCAAAAAATATAAGAAAAATAACAGTCGTTAAAGAAGTATCCTCTAGTTCAGAAGCAAACCTAAGCAAAATAAAAGAACCTGCACATGACACAGAGTCTACTGAAATCTCAGTTACTACAGACGAATCAACAGTAACGAACCAAATTCCTCCCATAGACTCAGAGTCTATAGAAACTGAAGCTTTTTGTTCGGGAAACCATGAGTCGCTGGAAGATGAAGACCCCATCATTAATACAAGTGCAGACGAGATTACTGAAATCAAAAATGTAGAAGTTGAAAACGTGCAGCAATCTCATGGCGCATCAGAAACTGTCATTAAAGTAGACAAAGAAGAGGAATGTGTAAAAGAATCTACAGAGAGCTCCAATGATTGCAAGCACGTTCAATCAGAACCAGAAAATATTGAAACGGACTGTGACTCAAAAATTTCTCACGATCTTTTGCTAAGTACAAATGACAACGAATCCTGTAAACTCGCTACACCTACAAATTCACCTAGAACTGGTGATATTATAAAAATTGACATAGTTAGTGATGTTTTATTGCAAGAGAAGGTAGAGGATAATTTCTTAGAAGATTCTTCTACCTTATGCCAACTTGCTGCAACATGTGAGGATACACCCTTAAGAAAATGTACTGTAGCAATTGACTCAGATCAGAATTCTTTTTCACAAGAGCGTCCAGAGGATCAGCCTACTGATATACAATTTGGCAACAAAAATTCAAATTCCATAAATGAAGAAAGTACAGTAATTGACTCTTCGCTACCAGAACGTGTAGATGATTTGTCTCTTAAGACGGCGACTGAACCGGAATTATCAGCACCCAAGCAGGAGTTTTTACTCGCGTCGTATGCAAGAGGATCAAGGTAAGAAAAGTGTTGCACATAAGGGATGACTGAGTCTGAAATTGTAGGTCGATCAAAATTTGGCGTGCTGGTTCTAATGGGTTACTGCAAACGGAAGTATTTCCACCCAACCAGCCTTATCCGAAACGTTCTAATAAATATCATCATGACAAAGCGTGGCTGTCTGTTTGTTGGGTTACACCTACACAACTACTGTCATCCAGCAGTAAAGGCCAGCTACTTCTTTGGGAGCTCAACGAGGTGAAAGAAGGTACCTCGGGAAAAAGGTAAATTACACTAGCGAAAAATGTGTTAGTAAAGTTATCTTTGTGGCAGAAATTACCATTATCGCGTGATCCACGCCGATCACAGCAAGTATGTTTTCTGCATAGCGGCACCCGTGAGGAATTATCCACCTATTGATGCAAGTGGTGGTGCTGGGGACATGGGTGAATTAAACGCCTGGACTATAGGGAATGATCGTTTCATTTTAAATACTAGTCTTGGCACAGGCTTTAGTAATTTGGTGACTTATTCGACAACTGGAGGTGCGGTCACTTGTTTGGTGCCTTCATCTATTACACCTTCAAGGTATGCTTGATGTGGTTTATTGTAATATCGGTAGCTTTTTGACTTTGAGTACTGCATTAGTACCAGAAGAATTGGGTAAATTGTTCCATTATATCAAGTGTTTTTATGAACGTTACAAAAGATAAAAGGTGTCCGAGGAAGAAGCAACTTACACAAAAATTCGAATTTTGAAAAATTCGCGCATATTCAGAAACATTTAGAGAATTCAAAAAATGACAAAAATCGTGACAATGTTTTTTGCAGTATAAGCCTGGCACTTTAAGGTTGCGTTTACAGCATTATGATAAACAAGTACAAAAATGACCTTGCAATTTCTGTCTAAAAATGTATGGATAATCCTCGGGATAATCTGAACAGAAAGTTAGTCGAATCCGTTTGAATGACCCATATTTCCAAATTCATAATGAATGATAACTATAATTCGAACACGTTTGGTTTATAATAATAATAATAATAACACACAGACACAGACACTAATCGTTACTTGATTTTAATCCGTGCGATTAGTTAACCAGGCTAGAGCTGAGTTCTCACAAGAAACACCGACAATAATAATAATCCTTTATTTGTTCAACAGAAAGACATAACCTTTCCAATTTCAGAGCAAAAACAACATTTTGCAACTTGCCAGAGTACAATAGAGTTAAAAATAAATCAAAAATAAAAAAAATATGTCTAGTAATATTGAAAATAGTGCTTAAACTACCGAAACCAATAACAAAAAACAGTCAAACAAACAAAGAGAAAAAGAAAAAATTATCTATCGCCGCTCTTGAATAATTACTAAGTGCGACTAATAATACTAAAAGTTTAATTAATCATAATTGATTATAGGAAAAATAATGTTCTATGAAAATATTAAAATTAATTACTGTTAATGTTAGTAACCGAGCGTATCATTTCCGGTAAAGAACTGTAATGAAGATCACAATTTTGTGAAATTAAATTAAAATTATAAGAGATTATAAATAAAGGATTTTTGCGCAACAAATTAGATTTAGGAGTGGGGTTTGTAAAGGTACTAGCATGGTGAAGTTTAGGCCAGTTAATAAGTGCGGACAATCAATTAAATTATTACTATTATTACTATACTTTGCATACTAGTGTCAATGTGACATGCTTTCGTTTATCCTCCATCAACATCTTACATACTACATACAGTTTTTGCAACCCTACACAAGGTGAGACATGCCTTAGTTGAAGGTCTCTGGTAGATCCGCACGCCTTGAAAAAATAGCTAAATAGTTTTATGCATTGTAGTGAATATTCTAGAAATCTAGACAGACATGGATTGGTCACCGGCGATAAAAAACCAATGGGAATTTGACGCATTCTTGCCCGGAAATATGAAGTGTTTTGTTCTAGAATATTCGCGAGCGTTCGAGAACTTTCGAGACAGATGAGCATTTGCATTGGGTCCAAGATAAGGATGTCTATTATGGAGGTCTCTGAAACCATGAAAGATATGACGTTGGTCAAATTAAAGAAAAGATGAGCAATTAAAGAGATATTATCATGCTTTAAAGAGAACCAAAAAATTTCGATTACTTCCGAAGATGTGTCAGAAAGATAGAAATTTGCCGCTTCGTTTTTATTTTTTCTGATGTTGCTCGCATTTGAGCAGATCACTAAAAACTCATTGTCACTTTTTGACTCCTCAAAAAGTTTAAAAGGTTTTTTTAGTCACAAAAAGCGGCAATATTGCCCTCATTTAACCTACACTGTATCTTACTGTTGCGAAGATCCCAATGGTGAGCCACGAATTTGAACCACCCTGTACATACGACGCAATCATCCGCCATTATCAAAATATTGTGACTTACAGAACAATAAAATTTCGTATGTAGTGCTTAATAATACAACAGATTTTACATACAGGGTGAGCTTTTTTCATTTCCACTATAGGGATCTCATAAACCATAAGAGATACAAAGTCGGTTAAATGGGCAAAGTTATGCAAAATTTTATGCTGATTAATTATCCTAGTCAAAATTTCCTGTGGTTCTACAAATACCAAAGTTATGACCAAAAAACGGAAATTGTCACTTCGAAAACTCGAAAACGTGCTGGCGTTCATTTATTTTCAGAGATATAAAAAAATCCTTTTTGCGAAATTTTTTCTCGGCTTTCCGAAGGTACTAAAATAACTTTTTTATGACTTGTAGGTTTTGAGTAAATCACATCAACTTTTTTATTTCTAATGGACGCCATATTGTATTTTGATATCACTCAATAGAGAAAAAATTATAAAATCGGCGATACCAAATACTTAGTATTTTATTTGCAAATTAATCTTGAATTTCCATCTACAGTTGATATTTGCACAAAAGGTTTTTTGTTATATTTTTTAGGTATGAGCCAGGAAACACTTCGCATAACATTGTGTTATGTCGGTTAGACCGTTCTGCACAAGGTTGTTTTTTTGTAGAATAACAGTAAACCAGAGGGTAAATGCACGAAACCTTCCCCATAAAAATTGAAATTTATTCAAGAGCAATATCTTATGTCAAACTTGACTTAACCCTGTGTCGATGAAAAAAAAATTTGTACGGTATTATGCTCATAACGATCGGCTTTATGGTCCAGTGGTAGAGCGTTGGACTATAAATCCGGAGGTCAGGTGTTCGAACCTGGGTTGAGGTGAATTTTTCATCTATGGCAGAGATGGAAATTACCTTAGACCAGTTTCGAGCATTCTGCCGGCTACTCCGAATTAGGTTTTCCTACAGTTTTCCTAATTCGTAAGGTAAATACCGGAGTAGTATAGAACAACTTAAGACCTTCTGCAGAGGCACCTCTAAAAAGCATTATGCGGGTCACTCTGTAATTGGGCGCAAGCCTGTTGAGGGCCCAAAACAAGAGAGGGATAATAAATAAATAAATAAACATTACTAAGAATTCAATTTCACCCTATCTTACTTAGTATGTGAAAACCTGCATTTTCGTCACGTAGTCGGCTTTAAACAGAACGGAACGAAACTTTTAGGTCCGAAGAGATCGTGGCAACCCCGCTAATTTTCCTCAATATGTTTCTCGTTATCGCCAGACATACTTTCGTTCACGTTCGCTATGAAGTGGTACATGTGAAAATTTCATTATGTTGACCAAAATACAAATTCAAAACCAAATTTTGGAAAACAGCCAAGCAACTCCCTGTCACAGTGAGCAGGCGAGTAGACAGTAGTGGCAAATAAGTTACACATCTTCGTGTATTTACACAGTAGGTACAAGTAATTTGTTTGAAAGCATCTGATAGGTATATTTTTAATTTTCCAAAACTAAATAGATCTACAGGATCTTCAAACTTAAGTCACTATTACTAACTTCGTTATTATATCAGATCCAAGGTCGGTTAAATTAGAGAACTAGTGTTTTCGTACGTTATATACAGTGTGAAAACAAAGAGAAATCAGTTGACAAAAACGCATTTTTCTAATGTACATACGGAATTATTGGTTAAAGTCCTGTAGGTGATTTCCAAGTTTTTCAATGTAAACGCCACCCTAATCTGCTTGGCAACTTCAATAAGAAGCTAGTAATAGTTTCATTCATTCATACATTATGACGTCGTCACTTATAGGCCCAATTTAGAAATATTTTAATATTTGGGAAGTGGTACCTGTATAAAGGATGATCATTATGATGGTGATGCTAATTCATAAACTTTCTGGTATTTAAATTAAATTCATTTTACTGTAAAGTTTAAAAATTGTAGCCTGTTATTTCTTATATGTTAATTTAACAAGTTTAAACTATCCTTCCAGAATTGCTTGCGGCTTTAGCGATGGAAATCACAAAATGTGGGATTTAAGTCAACCGCATCTGCAGCGCGTTATTTTAAATCCGATATTTGAAAAGCACACAATTAAAGTGACTAGTTTTGCATGGCATCCTACCAAAGAAGATTGTTTAGCCTACGGCACTATCGATGGATATGTAAATATTTCCATTCCTGTTTCTTGTTTGTCATTTAATTCTTGCAGATTGGTTTAATAGATGCCAGTAGTTTATCGAAAAATTTCACCCAATTGGTACAGTCATCTGCTGCAACTGTATGTCATCTACAGTGGGGTCCCTTGGATACTGATACAATAGGTCTATATACTGTGGCCAACGGAAAACTAGTTGTCTACAATGTTAAACATCCTTTACATGGTAAGGTTCGCTTCCAAACATACTGTTGCTGGATTTACATACATTTTAGAACCGGCAGCGATCGAATTTGACGTCGATTATAACTTGACTTCCTTCTCTTGGAAACCAGATTACAGTATTATAGCAATTGCTACCAAAAATTTTGAGCTTTTGTTGTACAGCAACAAATTTAAACTTTTAAACACTTTTCTGCTTCAATCTAAAATTGTGCGTTGCTTGGCATGGCACCCTTCCGACACTACTGAAAAGAACTGGTTGGCAATATCTTCAAACCAAGTGATTGTGTATGACTGCACGGAAAAAGATACAGGTAAGTCATTACTGAATGGTGCTGTTTGCATTGTAACATATTTCAGAAGGCTCATGTAAATATGACAAATGTGCCTTAGCTATTTTCTCACAGCACAAAGGCACTGTCCAGTGCCTGTCGTGGAGCCCGCATCAATCCGGGATATTAGCTTCGGCCTGTGATGATGGATCTGCCTTGGTAAATTGAGTAATGTTACGTTCTGTAACGGACCTTGTTTTTGTGTTAGGTATGGAATGTTAAGTCGCAAACTTTGCTACACGCTTGCCATTGTTACTCAGATGTTCTTTCTTCGGTTGTGTGGAGTCCATTTGATGCCGACTATTTAATAACTGGTGGGAAGGCGTGTACAATTCGTATTTGGAAACTTTCGGAAAATCCTCCTGTACTACGACCTGGTAAGAAATGCAGCTCTATTCAGTTCATATCATTTCATTGCTAACAAAGAATTAACTAAATTGTTCGGTAATCTGAATTAGTGAGTCACTGAGTGTGAGTAAGCAAAAGGTTTGTAGTAACCCTGATTATAGTGTTAAATATGCCTTTAATCCCTGTTGTTATGTTAGGAGTGATACAGCTATGAAAACTTAAAAAATGGAATTTGTGGCATGCAATTTCCACAGAAACTTTTCATTTATATATAAATAGCTTCTCATAGTTAACAAACAAAATTGACATTGTATGCAATTCATGGTGTTCTGATTTATTTTCCAGAAAAACCGTCAGCAAACCCAGCATTAACACTGAATGGAGACAAGGATGATACTACAGAAAACAGCATTGTTGCAAAAACCGAAAGCAAACCTCGACGGACAACCAAGCAATTTTTAAACGGAATTGCGCGTATACACAATGTAAACAATCATTCCGAACTTCTGCAAAATTGTCTAACGTTGTTTTCATTGCGATCGAGGAGTAGTGACGATGTTAACAATTATAAACATGAGTTGGACAAGGAGTCGGAATTCAATGTAGTAAACTTGTTTGGTGATAAAGACGGAATAACGAAAATTTTGCGACTTGAGCGTAAGTAACCTTTCAAATGAATAATTTTGAATATGGTGGAAATATACTACAAGTTCTCCTTGGCAGTTCCTATTATTATAACTCTGTAGTCATGTCCTGATAGTGTCCCTAATAATGTTTTTTTGTTTAGGAGAGAACCACCTCAACAGAACAACTCCTTTAAGTTTGGAAAGTGTTTCATTATGGGAAGGTAATATTGACGAGACTATTAAAAATGCGATTAAATGTGGGAGTTTAAATCCATGGCTCATTGGAATTGCTCCAATGGTGTCACACAGGTGCGTTTTAAAATAATAGGACATGTACAAAAATTAAATGACATTTTTGCCTATCTGTCCTTTTATATTCTGTTACCATTGTTTTAGTTTATGGCAACAAGCATGCGAGTCATATGCGAAACAATTATTGAATAGTGCCAATAATAAACCTGTTGAAGCTTCATTTTATTATTTGGCATGTCACAAAGTAGAAGAAGCGATCGAAGCGCTTTGCTCGGGTTCATATTATCGAGAAGCACTCATTTTGGCTAAAACTAGATTATCCAATTCTGACCCGATTATTAATAATGTTATTGAACGCTGGGCGAAGTATGCTGCTTCAGTAGGATGCTATGAAGTTGCCGCTCAGTGGTAAGTAGCACTTACACCAAAGGTCAGACACTTAATCTAATCAGATGCATTGCCTTCTTTCAAAATTTGCAAGTGATATTAATAAAAGACTTTGCCTTTTCAGTTACTTAGCTTTGGATAAGTTGGAAGAAGCTACCAAAGTGCTATTTCGCAGAACTGATATTCCCACATTGGAATTTTGCGTTACACTGGCAAAGGAAAGTGGTAACGAAGATATGTTACATGCGACATTGTTTAGACTGAACTCGTTCAAATCTGAATTCAGCGATAAGGTGGGAGATCCAGCTCCACCTTTACCAACGAGATTGGAAGCTGAATCTAGCCATATTTCTTGCGATATCAAAATTGCGGAAATGGCAGAAAATAAGACTGAAAATGGCGACGAAATTACCAGTGATAATACAATAGTCGCCTGAGTATTTTATTGATTTTGTTTAGAATTTTGATTTTTTTCTTGTTTCAAGAGTTACTTTTATTTTTTGACAAAGTATGTTGGTTTTTTATTTTTGTATTAATAAATGCGTTATTAAGTATCATTTTGACCGTTCTCTAAGTAATTTGCTTTATACTTCCATTGCATATTGGCATATACAATGGCAAACGGTCACTAAAACCACACACAAACACATGTCCAGCTAGCTCGGTACTAAAAGAATCTTATATGAAATGGTAAGAAATTTTCCAGGGCACGTCCAACCACAACTTAAAATCTTGATAAGACTTTAATTTGACAATACTCTGCAGCCTGAATCAACTCCACAATTGCAAAGAATTATATTTACAAATTTTATTTGAACACCCTGGGTATCGGAAATCAAATAGAAAATTTATCATGAGAAGTCTTATCTAGGATCACAGATGACATAAATTTGTTACACAAAATCAATCAATAAGGCTGAAGCAAAATTAGACACTCAGGGCCAAAGTACAAATACCACGCAACAAGCAATCGGTGAAACAATTAAAAAAGATTGTAATTGCCTTAAAGTGTTAATAATCAAAAATATCCGGTCGTAACTGAGATTTTCATTAAATGGGTTTGTTGTAATTACAGATGTAAGGCCAGTCATACAGGTGGATGTGTACCACAGAGATCTGTGCGCTTTAAGAGGTGTGCATCGGCCATTGAATTTAAGTTATAAATTCAATGCCTCGGCTTGTGTGTCACTTCGTGTGATGAAACTACAGGCAAATTGACGAGCTAGACTGAATTAAAGAATTATACTTTCTGTCACTAGAGGTGACTAGACGTAATTAGCACGCTGTATATCTTCTCGCTCTGGCTTTTGTCAAATCTAATTATTTGAATCTCCCAACGTCTTGAGAACTTCGAGTGAACATGGTATTCCATTGGCGTTGCTCAGAAGGCTCTACAGTAGCGTCTAGTTTACCTTGGGACTTTTCTGGGATGCATTTTACCATTGAATAAGTAATATGATTACTTATTCAATGATTTTACTTAAGAATACCTACTTGCATCTCCTTGTTAGCGGTTCCTACCTCATCAGACCTCCATTCAGTTGGTGCGTCCAGGTCCACCAAACCCAATTCTATTTTACCTCTTCTTTATCACTTATTATTTCTTCCCACCAACTTTTGTGCCGAAAGTAAACCAACAGGGCTGGGACGCCGCCCCTGTTCCCTAGCCCCGACCATCTCTGTTCACTCTTCAGGGTTTCAATGCTATCAGGTCACGTGTCAGTTGAAAGGAAACGCATAACCGGGGTGTTTCTGCTGACTAGCGTTCTTCCTGTATTGTAAATTACCTGTATTGCAACACTTATGAGACATATGTGACGTCATACATTTTTAACTTCCCTGGGTGTTGCTATGGCGCGCTATAATGCACTAAAATCTCCCCTTAATCTTTGAATATTTATATTCAAAGCAAAGCTGGGTCGAGCGTTCTAAAAAACCGCTCGAGCGACGAGCCCTCTAATTTTCTCAAAAATGCTCGCGAGCATCGAGTTCTTTTGCAAAGCGAAACCGCTTGCGAGTTTATCATGATGAGCGCGCGGGAAAAGTGCTCGTGAGCGGAATAAACGCTCAAGAGCGGAAAAAAACGGCTCGCGAGCGGCGCTTAATCCTTCAGCGCTTGAGGGGGGTTAAAAGCAAACCGCTCATGAACGGAAAAACCGCTCGCGGGCAGAAAAAAGCGCTTGAGCGCCGAGCACTAAGCAAAGAGTAAATGGTACCTACTCTTTGCTTTAAGTAAACGGTCGAGTATCGAGCACCAAGCGGCCGCTCCGAAAGTGCTCGCGAGCGGATCGCTCACAAGCGCTTTTTCCACTTGGAGCGCTTTTTCGACGAAACGCTCACGATGAGCAGTACCTACCCAGCTGTGGATTCAAAGCCTTAAGTATGACCTACCTTTTGATGTAGTATAAATTCAACCGCTTACCGCCCAAGCTTAAACCCCAACGGTCACTACTCACTAGTGCTTTAGTTGTTAGTTCTTCAAATAAAAGAAGAGTGGTGGCGTGAAATAAAATACACTAGCTCCACTATTTAAGGTGCTTGGAGGATCCCATCCCCGGCCCATACACCCTACAAGAAAGTGACTTATTTATTTAAAGTGGAGTCTGCAATTTGATATTATCCGAAGAATCCCTCCAAGGTGCTACATGGGAAACTGAAAACTCATACTATACCTTCCGCCGATGTGGAATGTGGGGAATTGCCTATTCCTGCCATGCTAAAATGTAGGCAAATGTTAAGAAATAATAATTGTCTAATTCGCTTATCTAAGGGCCCCTCTCAATACGCGTGCTTGACTCAGACTCGCCCCTTTTGTTCACATAAGTATATCAGTATATGTAGGGCCGTTGATGCTTGATGAACTTATCGCATACGATTTTCAGTAGGGGAATTTTTTGCCACTTAGCTCGTATTCGGAAACACGACTTTAAATCCAGCTCATATTAAATATTGAAGTCATAGTACTCGATTGGCGAAGGTTTGACATTGCTGTCTCTTTTCGTTCTCAAGTTAAAACGAGGAACAGACGGACAAGCAAACAAAACCATCACACATATGGGGAATTTTTTGTTTGTTAAAGAATTCCCCTGAAAGGATCATGTCATAAGTATAGCTCTACTCTAGAATCGACTTCAATTAATTTAACACGGAAAGTACAATAGTGACAAATGCCAGCAGTATTCATATGGAAGTCTAATAGCGCTACATATACAGAGCATCTTATATTGGACAGTATCGGGTACTTCCTTCGCGAAATATAGTTAAACGATTCATACAAAGAAATACTAAATTAGAGCCCCCTTCTTGTATAGCTTAAGCACCGTCCGGTAGCGGGCCACGCTGCCACTACTATAGATGAATTAGCAACATATGCAGCCGAGCTTGCGGTACTCTCTCCAAGGAATAGTTAAATCGAAGCAATATAAAGGCAGGATTCACATAACGGTACATAAAAAAATTTATTCAAAATGTAAATAGTAACAAATTGTGATATGAAATTCAGAGATTAATGGGCTTAGTACAAGAAAGAATAAAAAAACTACTACTCAAACCCAGTACAGATTCGAATACCCTTAACCGACGTTAACTTTTCCCCCAAGTTGTGTAAACATTTTTCACATACTGCCATTCTTTCATGTGTAAGGTGTGTTGCCTAACCATAACCATAGCCACAGGTATACGTTCTTTAGATACGTATATCTGTGCCATAGGGGCACAGATAAAGGGTATGTTACCACAAAGAATAAAATGATTACTACGATGTGAGCGGCTTCCGGGATCGTGCCAATGTTGAACGCAAAGTCAATGTTTCGACCACTTGCGTAAGGGGTTACATGCTGAGCCTACGAAACGTTTTTGATTCTATTTCATTCAATTGCCCGCTTCATTGTTTGCGATGGTCTCGGTTTTCTCTTTTCGCGTTGAAAATCGAAAAAGAAAATGTTACAGTTCATATCATATCATCAAAAAATTGTATAGGGTAGATATACAGATATGAAAATCGATAATCTTTAATTTTTTATTAACACAATCTTGACAAATATTACTTGCTTAAACGTATAATTTACAGAATAGTGAGCAACTTCCATTAAATAAATTCTGCGAATTTATGTTTTTTGTAATATCTTTATGTTTTCACAGCCATCCTGTTCTTGGTTGTTTCCTAGGTTTTGTATCCCCGATTCGCGTTATGTTTCTAGAGGTTAATGGCGACTTGGCTGCAGTTTGCGCGCTATCGGGGGATATCACTCCTATTGCGTCTTTTCCTTCTGTTGAACTGGCTTTCTTTGATTCTTCCGGTGGCTGAAAAGTGAAATTGAGCTTATTGCTGCCTGTAAACAATCTCACCTTAGCTTCGGGAAGTGGAGGTGCTTGCGCTTTTCGACTTTTTGATTTTCCAGTTGGCGATTCTTCGGTTGTCTCTTCTGACGGCGGAGATGGTGTTTTTGTTGGGGAAATTTCCTCCGCGTTTACTTGCTCTTTATCTTCTTTAGTCGCACTGGTCTCTGGTTCGATCGGTACAGATTCTGCAGATTGTTCTACAGGGCTTGGTTTTGTGGCATCATCTGTTTCTGCAATCCCTTGTTCGCTGACTTCTGTGTCTTCTTTGATACAAGTTACATCCTCTATTGTTGAGTTATCTTCCGGTTTACTCGTCTCTTCTTTTTCGTCTTCCATGTCACTTCGGTCTGATACTTGCAGTTCTTTTTCGTCTGGTTTTAACTCTGCGGTTGTTAGGGACATCTCCACTGGTATTGGCACGAGCAGAGTGTCTTCAGCAGCTGCAGTCGTAAGTTTTATTTCTTCAATTAATGTATCTTTAGTTTCTGCAATTAACTCCGCACTTTCCTTGTACGCGTCTTGGACGGTTTCCTCTTCAGATTCTACAGTCGAAACGGGCTGCTCGGGTGTGGTACTTTCTGGCAGTGTTTCAGGTTCTTGATCACTGGTTGTCGGTTCTTCTGTGGTAACAATTACAATTGGTGGTCTCGTTTTTAAGTCGGGGGATTTTATTATTTCCGATTCTTCCTCAAGTATCGTTTGGCCTGAAAATATGTTACTGCGCAATGATTTAACTGATGGTGATTTAGGACTTTCTAATTGAATAAAATCAGGAACGTCGTCAGCTGCCAAGCTACTTTCTTTTTTAGGCGAAGGAGGAGATAAGGCGATTGAAGGCTGTGAGACAACGACTTTGGGTTGTAGTGGTGTTTTAGATAATTTAAACATATCAAACTTTTTTGATACTGCAACAGTTTAACATTAATGCTGAACATTATGTTTCATATTCGCTTACTTTTTGGGTTACCTTTGGGATTCATGTCTTTTAGTATTTCCATGATTGATTGACCAGTTGTATCCGGCAAATCTATAGGCGTTGGAGGTCGTGATGTAGGAGCAGGGCTACGGGTCACTATCCGTTGTACTTCCTCCATTGCTTTCAATAAGTTTTGCTGTTTTCTAAATGAATCTTTACTGCTGCAATGTCCTATTTGGGATCTAGAAACAATGATCTAAAATGTTGCGCGCTTCGAGTATGCCACTCATTACGCTAAGCAAACGCCCGTTACAACTTGTTTCCATTTATGCAAATTAGATGTCAGAACCGCTAATTTTGCTATTCTTCGAAATCTGCAAAGTATCCATATCTAAATATCTTTAAGCTAACGGTACGCACTTTAGGTTCCTACCTAGCTAGAGGATCTTCATTTGCTGGAGGAGATTCATAAATTAATTGATCAGCTTCTTCCTCAGTTACAATCGGCGCTACTTTAAAGTCTTTCATTAATTGCCGTTCCCACATCTTCATTTTTTTCCCCAAAACAGCTGAAAACATGTGCGTCTTACGTAGGGGAATTTTTCTTAAATGTATATGGGCTATATTTATAATTGCTCTGGCTAGCACAGATACCACCCGCACACTTGCTTTTGGGCAGGACCGCGCATGCGCACGTGTGTCAAAGTCTGATTTCCGGAAAAACGGCTGAACCGATTGGAACTAAATTTGGTACACAATATTCTTAGATATAAACGGGCAGTATCCGCATGCGCAGATGTGCGGGTGATATCTGTGCTAGCCACAGCATATTTTTTTAAAGTATATACAACCCATTTAAGAAAAATTCCCTGTATAGTGGCATAATATCCACAAACCTTTTTCTTTAGTTTCCACAGATGATATATCCATCCCATTTTTGCTAAGTACCTCTAGTAAATCATAACGGAAGGCGGAAATGTCACCTTTAACTTCGTTAATGTCATCTTCTGTTACAGCATCTTCTTCCATTTTCTTATGCATGCTGGATACATAACGCCATACTAGAGCTCTCATTATCGAGGTGTATCTATAGTCTCTTTCCTTTTCTTCTCGGTTTCTACTCTAAAATTGTTACGTTCACCAAGTTATAATATGCCAATTACCTATCTACTAACATTTGTAGATAAATTCCTTTCCTTATCTTTCCTTCTGAGTTTGAAGGCTTTTGCCAAAGTTTTCATTGTTGGGAATACATTGAAAGGTGGAGGTAAGGTGTTCCCCTCCTCAAAATAACTTAACCATAACTTTGTTCTCGCAAACTTCCACTCAGTATCAGAATGTTCCTGTAAATGTTCTGTCGACGTAGAAAGAAATCGAAGTACTTATACTTACATCAATCATCGCATACGAATTGGACATCATAGCGATGAGTAGATTCAGTAACACGATAACGTTGATTACCGAATACGAACCGAACATCAGCAAGCCCCAAAATCGCGTGTACGTCTTTATGCCCATCAATTCAAAGTTTTCCAAATCGACCATACCGAAACTGGCCCAGAAAAGAGATTGCGAAGCTTCGAATACACTGAAAAGGGTAGATGTAAGACATGGAATCGTATTAATTACAGTGCGAGTACTTGGCAAAACTTCTCCATTTCATGCAGGCATCAGATTGATTTTCCCAGTCCGGTTCGCCATTCGGAAGAGAGTAGCATTTCTTCTTTTCCAAATTAGAGAAGTACCACAATAACTGATTCAAACCTAAGGGTGGTATCTTGTTACTATAAAATCTAATTTGAAATAATTTTGTTTATAGGTACCTATAAGTCGCGGCTAAGCATTACCTATGAACATGGGGCGGTGTAATGATAGGGCTTAGAATAGCTTATTTGTAGATATTGTCAAAAATAGGTCATTTAAAAAATCGAATTCCTTATTTTATAACCTAGCACTGGTACACCGAAAAAAGTTCAGCGGTAGAAAATGGAACATGACCCTTGGAAAAACAACATTTGTAGATTCCCACTCCCATGGACATGACGCATATTGATATTGAGAAGGATTTGAGTAGAAATTGTGACATTAATGGAAATTTAATGGAAAAGTTAAAGGAAACATAAGAGAAATTCAGGAAAACCTTAAAGGGAAGTTTGAGATTAACTTGAGAGAAATTTGAACTTTAAGAAAACATGATGGGACCGTAATGCTAAGTGGCAGAAGGCATTAGGGTGAATTTGTGAGCACCTTAAAAAGAGAACCTAAACTAAACTTAAGACACTCAAGAAGAACTTGGATGGAAACATAAGAAGAAATTGAGCAAATGCACAGAAACTTGAGAGGGAGTTGAGAGAAACGTGTGTAACCTAAGAAGAAAGTTAGAAGTTCGAGGGGAACATTTGAGATTAACTTGGAGATGTATTATTGGTGGGAATTTGAGAGGAACCTGTCAAGAAATAGATAAAAACTTGAGAAGAACTTGAAAGGAACCTGTGACGTGAACTAGAGGAAAGGTTATGACGTTATGAGGAACAAGGGTAAATTGTGGAACTTTAGAACAGATTATGAGAAAATTGAACGTAACAACACAAAGAGAATTTGAGGAGCACTTTTAAGGCTGGACAGTACATACAGAACGGAGTATGAAAAGTTGCCTATTGTCAATCCCCAAATTTGGTTATTTATAATATTAATTTGTGTTCGATGGTAAAAACATAAACTTAGTCCAATTATAATGCATATTTTCTATCTGTATAAAACCAGCCACGCGGCGGAAGCTATCTTTTCGCGCTTTTCAGGAAAACTTTTAAGTTGTTTTTCCCAGATAACGTATCTATAAATGAAGTTGGAACAATTTCCAAAATTAAGATACGTTCGTAAACTTAATATCTAGGCAATAACGCCAGGAAAATTTATTTCTTTTTTTCTTTTCCAAAATATGACACCCTAACAGCCCTCGACGCTGCCCTTAAAAAAAAGCTTATTTTAAAGCATTTTAGTAAACCCCGGCGTTATTGTCTAGCTAAAGCATTCACCTTCCACAGGAATATTCGACCCCTTCTTCATTTTCACTCAGAATTAAGATATCGTGGAACGAAATCAAGTATTATCGGGCAACGGAACGGGTGTACTCATGTACTGTCCAGCCTTAAGGCACATAATGCCCTTAATGGAAAATTGCAAGATGCATGAAAGGAACTGTAGAAAAATTTAAAGAGGGACTTGGGAGGAACAATAAATGAAGACGCACTTTACAGAAGCTTAAGAAGATCTTGAGGCGAATTTGTGAACGACTTGAGAGCGGTTTATCAGGGAACTAGCAGCTTAGAATGAATTTGAAAAGATCTTGAACAGAAAGTGAGAAATTAATGAAAAATTTGCTTCCGGAAAATTTAGGTTCGATAAAACCACCCTTGAAACATTCGTCCCAACAAATTTCCCCTTGAATACCTTTACGGAAACTGGTGCCCACAAAATTTAACCTAAAAAAATTGTCCTTGGAATAATCAATCCATCAAATTCATTCCAAGAAAATTCGTCTTGCGTAACTCCTCCCAGGGAATTCGCTTCCGGAAAATTTGTCTATGGTATATTTGGTCTAGAAAAAATTGTTGTGGGTATATTTCGCCCTTCGAAACTAGTCCCCGGAAAACCCCTCCTGGTAAAATTCCTACGTAAAGTTCCTTCTCTAAAAAGAGAAAGAGTAGCCCAGAAAAATTCCATTCGTCTCGTAAAATCCTGGAATATTTGACCTGGAATCACTGGCCCACTGAAAAAAAGATCCAGAAATTGTTCCTGGAAAAATTTTCCCCAGGCATACCTAATTGTAGGATTCGTCCCAGTAAATTCACCTCCAAGGAAACCCATCCATATCATAAATTAAGACAGGTAGAATTTAAACAGAGGAGTGCAAAAATACAAAGCCGCCTGCATATTATTGTACAAATTCGTTACTTACCACATGCAAAAGCGAAAAGTACCAACGAATAAATAAAGAAGAACTTTACAATATCAATAACCATTCGGCCTAAGGATATTTGCAGAGGTCCCAAATGCGGATTGATTGAAAACAGGTGAACTAACTTCAGCGCGCTAAAAAAGTACTATTCAGACACGAATGATGGTGTTACAGGTTACAGGTTACCTACCTGAAAATATTTGCAGCCGCAAATAAACCTTCAGCAATCAGTTGCGGATCAAATGCGTTCCAGTTCTCCCGGGGGATATAAGCGGTTGATGGGTCCTTTTCGATTTCATTCTTTTGCTGTAGATAAGCTGCAACGCGCAATACAAAGACCATGCAATATAGAAAGTTTCTTGTAAAATCGATGGAGTTCCACAAATTTCGCAAATATGATTGCATCCCTTCCGCGTAGATTTCGTATGTTTCTTCGTATATGTAACCTGTAAATGTAGTAATGAGTTGCTCTTTCCTTATTTGAAGGGTTACATACCAATAACGTATATTAATACGACATACTCTAGAATTGCGGGTGGGTTTCCTCTTTGTTTTTCAAACCTTTCCGTTTTCATGCTTTCAGTCCCGAAAAATTCAATAAGTAGATCTTCAGCTCGTTGCGACACCAAAATCAGGATAACTGCAAGGGAAGGATATTATAGAGGAAAAAGCTTGAACGGTAGCCTTACAAAGAAAAAATAGATAAGAAGATGCATGTATCAAAAACTTCATAAATGGTTTCCTCATTAATTTCCCGGTGCCCGTTTGGGGCGCAAGCATGTACAGGGTGCAGTACAATGGAAAAAATAACGCCGTCCTTAGTATGATGATCAATTTTTCAGGCGTTGTCATTCGCCGAAACCCTGGCACCCCCTCGTACCAAAGTGCGGCTAGTAGTTGTTGAATGTTAGAATGGGCGACAAACTGAAATACAACAAATGAACTTAAATCCAATTTAAACTATTTAGACGCTGTCGCACTTTCTTCTGTTTATACGTAATCGCCAGCTCGAGCCTAGCCAGCTTCATATGATCGCCGGCTTCATACGGAGGACTCTCTGGATCATAATTTAATATAATTGCTAGCTCTTCTGAACTGCGCGATTGATGCAACAAATCGACTGCGAACTGTTGGCATTGTCTTCTCAATTCTAAATATTCGGCGCGACACTCCTATGAATCAAATGATTTAGTTGCAAATCTAATGGCAGCACGTTACCGGTTCCCCAAACGCAAGATTTCGCAGTTCCCAGGACAGCTGAAAGGCGGTCAAAATCGGATCGCTTGATGATAGTGCGATCAAAGAGGGACTTGCTAGCGCTTTGTATTCGTTTAATCTTGAGAGGGCTTGTCGTAATGAATCTTCCTTTGACTCCTTGATGCAATCGTCACAACCGCACCTGTTAAAATCCAATTTTTATTATGAAAGGCACTGGTGTTTCTTTACTTTAAAGTTTACTGTATTTCAAAAGGAGGAACGTGGCTGTTTCGCGTTGTGGTGCGTAGGGTATTTGGGATCGGCGGGTACGTAAAAATTGGGTGGGAGAGAAGGATTCTTTGCCGAATCTTCGATGTGAAACTATTATGTTTATTTGCCAGTTATCAAACCAGTGCATTCGCTGTTAATAAATTTTCAGCTTATAATTGGAAATAACGAACCAACTTTCCGCAAGGTAATAGTCATTAAGATGTTTACTTATTACTGAGTTAGCTGCGGATTTAATTATTTCATTACAAAAAATTAATTGTTACTGTATAATTTTTACCAGTACCGTAGAGAATAAAATTTATGTTATGGAGATGGGGTTTTCAACCCCTGTAGATGTAACTGAACCATTACAATGGGGCCGTGGGACAGAATCGAGAAGGAGATGGGATAAAACTAAGAGTTTTGTGGAAGAAAAGATAAGAAAAATAAAATATATTTCGCACGAGAACCTGGCATAATATAGAGAATCAAATTCAGATGAAAAAATTCAAAAACGAAATACATGATACATAATAAATACAAATGGAAAACAATTTAGCACAAAAACACGCCAAACACAGCTACAATTTGGACCAAAAACACTCCTAAAATGATACATTGCATGTACCTAAATTACATCAAAATGGGATGGTTATTTTCCGGAATCACCTAACATTGTAAGGCGAAAAGGTTCTATACAAATAATTTCGTATTTTTTTCCACAGTTCTATTCTTTCTGATGTACAGTGTCTTGCCTAACCGTAAGGGTATGTTATCACAACCCTTGACATGTTATGAGTTATGACCGAATATTAGTTGTCGAGTCAATCTTTCGCTAAACTGCTGCAAGTATGTCACCTCTCGAAGCATATCGATGCTATATTTTTATTGGTTATGTCCGAGTAGTGGACAGTGTTGCTCGAGCAATGATATAATATGGACGTATATCACCCAAAATGAGTTCGCAAAGATTATGCTGTTGTTGTAGAGCAGTAATTAGTGATCTATAACTGATTAACACAGGAACCCCTTTCTGTTTCAGACCAGATAATTTTAAAGTTCTTGTGGTAATTTTTAGCGCATTTTTGGAACAAAATACGTTATTATATTCATTATGGCTGGCTGGGTGTCTGGCTGGCTGTTCGGATGTCATCTCGGCAATTACAATAGCTAGAGATTTCAAATTTTCACTGAAAACGTGCCGTAAGGGTCGTGGAAATGGTAATAATATGAATTTGGGCATTACAGTTTAAACTCCTTGAAAGTATTTTCCAAAAAATGTGCTTACTGCGCTATGCAGTAATCTTGAAGGATAATTGTTTTAAATGTAAGTAAAAAACGCTCCCTTCTACACTAAAATTTTACTAATTGTGGAAAAATAAATTCATTTCGACATCCTGCAAGTTTTTGACTGATTAAACTTTTAATTATTTACAGGCTCGCGATGCAGGTATTTAATTCAATGTGTTGATTTTAGCTGCTTGTACATATTTAAAATTCTTTTGTAGATTCACTTCCACTCTAATTCGCCGCGGTTTCTATCGCAATTAGCAAGCATCTACATATTTAATTACCAACACTTTTACATTTTTATAGAAGTACGCCATAATTGAATTAAGCCGTTCCATTTCTTTGGAAGATTGCCTTGATGTCTAAGAACGCAACATTCAGATTCAACTCCAGGGTTCTGTTTGATCATTTCGGATGTTTACAATGGTGAGACCTATGAGAATTTTTTGTTGTATACAAATAACAAAACTACAATCAATTCCGGCATTAGACGTTCTCGTCGACCATTTAGTCTTGACTTCGGTCATCCATGCAATTTCAACCTTGCGGCAGACAGAGGTGGCGGTGGGTTAAATTACAAAGGAGTACAACTTAAAAACCGTATTTTTTTCATGAAAATCAAGCGTTTATTAACGAGCTCTTAGCGAGTTTGTAATTTCGCTATCCGAAATTACAAAGGAGTACAATTGGCTTAAAACACCGTATTTTTTTCATGTTAAAATCAAGCGTTTATTAACGAGCTCTTAGCGAGTTTGTAATTTCGCTATCCGAGTGTCTCATTAGAAGCGAAATTTTGTGACGAATCTAAATATGCACGGAAAAGTACATGTTCATGATGAAATAAGGAAGATATTTACCGCCGAAGCGGCGTCTGCTCTGACGCGGCGGCACGCTATGCAGCACGTGTTTAAATCTCATGACTTTTCCACTAGGTCTAGTATATAGCTGATCTAGGACAATCCTTTCCTTCTTCTGCTGAGTACTTTTCTTCACAAAAGGCATGGTGTCTTTCAGAAAGAACACCAAAACCAACGATATTTATAAAGGCCAGCACACGTCTTGTTGACACACTGATCGGATCGAGATCAAGATAGCGGCTGGGGATCTCTGGCACCAACATCGAAAAACCAAATCCGACTTCACGTAAAACGCCAAATCATTTCGTTTCTCGGCTTTTACATACGTCTCGCATACGTTTTGATTAAAAATAAATATATTCGTTTAGGATTTACCGCTTACACTGTGAATATTTAGTCGCGGTGTGTCGTCAACATTTAGTGTGCAAAGGTTTGAAACAGGGTCGAAAAGTAGGGAGATTAGTCAAGTTGACTACTGTATATACCTTTTTAAAAATCATGTAAGACGTTTACATTGTGATGAGGTACAAAATACCACTCATACCGTATTTCTAATTATGTTTCCTTCATAACAACATTTTTTTGGGGACGTTTACCGTAAGTAATAGGTAGGCCGAGCTTGACTTCAGCCGAACGCGCTCTAACTACTTTAAGTTTAATCGATTCAGCATATACCTACAGTGCCCTTTTGCATCTCGGTCATTTATGAAACAAACTGCAAACTTTTTATTTACAAAAGCATTTAACTGAAATTTGATACATGCGCATTTGGAATAATAGCAAATCTAACACGAGGTTCAAAATTTGGTTTTGCACATGCTATAGCCAGAAACTCGTTTGCTATATTTGTTAACACATTCTACTCATTAAATCTTTAGTAATGTTTATTCAACTGGAAAAGGTTATAACCTTTTTATGATTCCGAATTCAACAAAAATTCAATCCCCCTTTGTTCACTAACGCGGTTAAGTAAAAGAAGTATCTTGACGCGATACTTAATTTGTTTTTGGTGGTTTTAATCTATGCCACCGAGACTGCGTATTCCATGATCGTTAAATTAGGAAAAAAAGTTTATCGCCGGGTTCTAAAGATATTCATTTTGTAAATAAAACAATGTTTACCTGCTGTAAAATTAGGTACTAGTCTACTTACTTTATATCATGTGGCATAGGAATTGTCGCACCGCGATCAAGCAAAATCTTGAGTATCTCGTAGTTATTCTTATGAGCTGCTAACATCAATGGGGTTAAATCTGGTGTGAAAGTGGCAGTACTTAAATTTACGGTTTGCCAGCTCTAAAAGAGAAGTTTTGTTAGATACATCAATAATGCACGTATGAACGTTATAGAGTGTATTGCTTTATTCATTGATTCTTTGTGCACGTACAATAAATAAAGCAGCCGGAAAATTGGTTCATTTGGAACATATGTTAAACAGGAATGGATTTTCAATTTAATGGTGGGACAGAAACTATAATTGCAGATAACTACGATCACGATTACGTATTATGTAGAGGTAGATCCCGTTTGGGTATTAAGAGCGAGAAATTTGCAAGAGATTCGCGTCCAAGCGTCTAAAAAGACGTACGGGAAATTAACAACAAGTATAAATTGTGCACAAGTCTTGTGCAGATAAAGTGCATTTTTTTAACTGAAATAGCTTTTGTTTTCACATCACCAATGGATATATTTCTTGCAGACGTCTCAATCGCCCTTTGTGAGTACCCTCTTCCGACAATCCGTTCTTGAAGTGTAAGGGAATATACCCGATTACGATAAGAGGTCGAGGAGGAGGGCTATGGTTGATAGAAATTAATTCCTTTCGTTGAGACCTTTCATTAGAGTACCATGAAGGATGAAACTAGTTCCACTCCCGCCCCTCCCCTTGACCCCGTACATTGATAAGAGGACAGAAAGAAGGGCAGTAGTTGGTAGAAAACGGTTCGTTTCGTTGAGACCTTTAATTAGAATACAATGAGAAATAAAATTAATTTTTAACCCCCCCCCCCCCTCAGGCCCCGTCGCTCACTGATCTCGAAAAAGAGTTGCACGGGAAAGTTATAGTTTGTACAAACCAATTTATTTCGATGAGACCTTTCATTACAATACCATGAAGGGTAGAACATGTCTCCCCCCCCCCCGCCATTCCCTACAGTTTAACCACAGATTTAAATATATTTAAATCTCTGGTTTAACTTAGCACAACTAAAGGCATGCGTATGCAAAATCTGAGACCAATTGGTTGTCGTATGTAAAAGCTATGCACGTTTGACTTTCGAAAACACCATCTCGGGAAATAATTCGTGGGGGGGGGGGTCCTTTTAGACAGCGAAATTTGATGGCCGTCTGGCACACGTTCAAGGTATAGGCTACCTACTGCAAAACATTCCAGGACTCTAGGACCATTCCCCTAGAAGTAGTTCAAAACGGTAGAAGTGGGACGGACGGACGCACAACACGCAAACAATAGCACATTTTTTCTAATTCTTAAAAATGCGCTAAAAAATAGAAACAGTTTGCCAGTAAAAGTTAGGAGCTGTATATTAACTCAATTCGAATAAGAAAACGTGTCAACCAGCAGCAAAAACAGAGTGCAGGATTTAAACGAAAAGTACACAAAGTCTTACAATTAAACAAACAATTAAATAAAGTTCAGGGTGCGTGACCTTTCGTGGATAGTTAAGAAGACAACCAGTTAAATATAAAACTCGTAACACTCGCAGTTACTGCAGTAAAACCAAACAAAAGGACTACTGCAAGTAAGCTTGGCGCGATTAATTACCCGCCCGAATTATTTGGATGTGCAAATTATTGCGCTTCGAAAGAAAGTAATTAGGTTATTGTGATTCCATTCCACAAACCCTAAAATTTGAGGATCTTCCAGTTGCCCAAAGTCGAACTGCTCAAAGGGTAGATTTAGAAGCCATGTAAATAAGGTAAACCGAATTTGTATGTCAAAACGGACTGTGTTCTTCTAGAAATTTGACGAGTGAAATACCTTAAATAGAAACATTCTCGAAAGACAATCCATTTTCTTTGTAAAAAAAGTTGACGGGATTTTCCATTGTAATTCCTGTTTGCGTATGAACTCGGCTGTAATGGACGGTAGACATTAATTGATTTAAATTTCAATATACTTCAATATTTTCATGTTGTGTCTTTCTTTGCCATCAAGGTAACCGAAGGCGGAAAAGATCACTATTTGAGTTTTCAGGTAAAAGACAAATACGTCCATTCCAATTTCTGTAAAACATTCTAATTTTAAATAAATCGTTTGGGGTCTTGCCTACCATGAAATTTAAGCCCTGTTACATAATTGCATGTGATGCAAATGTCAGGAGATGCATATAGTGGAAATGGACATTATTTTAAAAAACAATTTTTTGTTATCAGTTGTTTACCTTTTATGGGGATACCTTTGTCACTTAATTTTTTGATTCATGTATTTGATACTTGTATTATATATTATTTTCAAAGGGACCGGAATGTTAAAGCAAATTATGTTATGAAATATGTAAGATTACAGAACACTGATTTCAGGTTTGCTATATCTCTGGTTTTCGAGTGAATGCATTTATTGTCAACACCTCTATGGCCTCGACAAGTTCAAAGTTAATTAGAAGTTGTGACCGCCATTTATCATTTCAGAACCGTTGCATTAGCACCAGCAAACTTTGAAAGTTAGTGTACGTACACATAGGCTCATTGAAAACTCAGAAGGACACTTGAACTTACGTATGGTTCGCCTTCCTGGTGTATCAACTCCTCATGCTCGAGCAATAACTCAACCGCCTCTACAAACTCCGCATTTATTGCGTGAAGAAGCGCGTCCCTGGTCTTCACACCCATTATGACCAACAACTCGACCATCTCCAAATTCTCCCCGTCTATGGCTATAGTCAGAGAACTTCGGCCCAAGCTATCCACACAGTCGACGTCGATGTAACGGTGCCTGTGTGCCTTCTGCAACATCCTGCGAAATCTTCTCTTAACGAGGGATGAGTGTGGCATAAGACTTACCGTCGCACATTTGCCATATCGCCTCTTTCTACCGCGAGTAAGTACTTCTTCTCTTCCATTGTCAAGGGTTTGGGCAAATTAGTTTTAAGAACGGATTTTTCGGGGGCGCCATCGATGTCAATCTTAAATTCCGCCACCGTTTAACAAAAAGATCGTTGAAACTTGTTATACTTACAGTTGTTTCGTCCATATTGTTTTGATATTAGAATTGGTTTCAGGTAAATATAATGAAATGCACATAGAAAATAAGTCGAAAATAACACAGTTAACGTAAGGAGAACTAAATCAAAATGAAACCGATCGCAAAGTGCAGGAAATTTTTTATTACAATAATGTAAGCTCTTTATTAGATTACACTTATGTAATACCCATGGCGTTTAATTAAATTAAAGGAAGAAGGATATCTGGATATGTACAGATACCTATACACAAAAACCTTGAAAAATGTAGGTTGACAATAAAACAAGGAAGTTCTTTTGACCTGAAATAATTGGTTCGACCTACTGACTAATGAATATTAGTGCAAAACGTGAAAATTTGTTCTAACGGAATCGGACCTGTTTTCACAGCAAATCGTTCCACCAGTCAATCATATTAGTACATAAAAATAGTATTTTTAGTCATTTACATATGATAAACAGTATTTCTTTCGCCACGCACTGTTTTTAAAAATAGGTTTTCAATTTAGTATATACTTAGTCGTGGAATTTCAATCGGAGAATTCAGTCATCAACAATATTGGCTAGAAGAAGTTGAATATTGTGTTCCATTGAATGTAAGTAATTGTGTACGTGAAACCTTATCTATGTACCTACAGGGAGTATAATTGTTTTATGCCTCCTAAGCTCTAGCGTACTAATTGTTTAAATTAAGTAGTGCTAATGAATTAGAAACTTTAGTATGTCTTTTGGGAAAAATGACAAGTTTAAACGGGCGATCAATTCTTTATCCTCATTTAAAAGTCTGAAAAGCATTTGGGGCGTGGGACATACTTTTACCTACTACGTAGATATGTTCAAGAGGGGGTCGCAATCGGTTTGGCAGAGTGGCTGCAAATATATAACTAAGAAATGCAAAATGCATACGGGTATAGGTATATTAATAATGATATTAGGCCAGGTCTCTCGAACTATGAATTGATCCAGTGCAGTGACGATGATATAGGCGCTTAGGAGCTACCAAAGGGTAAGGGTAAAAACCCTCCCCTTGGAAGTTATAGGTTTCAACGGTTGTACTCCAAATGCGCATGAGTTTAAACAGAGGAATCAAAGGTGAATATTATATTATACATTGCTATGTGTCATGGCAAACGGTCACTAAAGCCACCCACAAACCACCTGTCCGGCTAGCTTAATTAAACTCATAGGAACCTACTAATAAAACCGTTAAAAGAAATAATTTCAATTTTTCTAGGGCACATCCAGCCCCCGCCACGACGAAAATCTCGATGTTGACGTAAATGTTATTAATTGAAAATCATTCAACAGCCTTTACCGCCTCCAAAAGAATCCCAATACAAATTTTTAATTACACCTAAGATACCCTGAGTGGCACTAAAAAATCTTGAAAACTCTACGTCGTAAATTTGGGAGACTGACATTTACAGATGAAATAAATTTATTCAACATCAAATCAACTCAAATCAACTGATCGAAAAAATGGCACTCAGGGCCAGGTAAAACACACCACGCAACAAGCGATCGATTAATCAAATTACACGTAATCTTAATTACTTACAGTGTTACTAATCCATAATCTGCTCAAAATTGCGATTTTGCTTATCAGACGAACAATAACAATCAATCCAAAAAACAAACTAATGCTGCTTTTGAAACTCTGCTTCTTTATCTATCATACAAATCTTGCTTTAAACCAACTCACTGTAAATGGTAAAGTTGTCTTCTTCTAATTGTATCTATAAATGTGAATAACTTAACTTTTACAGGTCCTTTTAGAACAACTCTCCGTTTGGGTAATAACACAACCCCTTCTTAACTTATACTACATTTGGTATCCGTGACAAAGCAACGCTTTATTAACTCAAAACTCGACTACACACTTTTATAACGACAACTTTTACGTTTACATTTAACTTTCTTGTAACATAACTTATTAACATCCAGACGCACTGTCCTTTACGACAGCAACTCTGATATACAGCAAAACGCACCACCATAAAAAAGCAATCAGGTATACGGCAAAAAGCTGCGCCAAAAAAAGCCTCGTTTAGACGTCTTCCTCCGCTGTGAACTACTAATCCTCCTCCTTTATAATTTTGCTAATGTACACCAATAAAATTTTATTTAGCCATCAAAAGTCAAAGCATTGTAAGAAAGACGGGCAGTGCTCCCACTCGTGAAATGAATTTCACGTCTGAAATTTACACCTGTACCTTCTACGGGGAAAACCCGCGCTTATTATGAAATTTAATTAGCGTACGCAGAGATAACAATAACTCTTATCTACCACCGAAGAAAAACATGAGATAAACTGACCTAAAAATCAAATAATATGATCGACATAGCGTCCAATCCCAACCCATGACCACATCTAACGTTAATACAATGTAATTCATTCAAGGAATATAAATTAAAATTTCAAGTCTATTACGTAATCACGTTCAAATCTAATTCATTATCTCGATTTTTTTCTATTTGTAATTACATTACATTTTAATATTTTAACAATAAACTCGACCTCTTCAGGAATTCTAAATTGACTTTCAGCATAAATCGTTTGCACAAACCCTCCAAAACGACTCCTATTTTTAGACAATACAAAAAATTCCAAATAACCTGCATTTTATCGCTGTTTCGAAGTTTTCTCCCATTGACATGTTGTTTCTCTCCTTTTGGGAGGTAGGCCAAATTGAAAAAAATGTATGGTGGAACGTTTTCTGCAAATTATAATCGGAACTTTTGTATCGCCTGGTAAACTTTACAGCTCGTCGAAAGTGAATCTCGAAAGATGTATGACAATTTGCATAGGGAACGAACTGGGTTTTATCCTTATAACTTAAGGTTTAACGGCTAGCAAAGGCACGAATTAATTGTCCTTAAACTATTTTACCTAGACACAATGAACGTTCTGCACCTTGGGCCACAAGCACAATGCTTTCGTGGTAACAATTTATTTAAATGCGAGCACGGTAATCCCATAATGCAATAAAACATAAGTATTTTCACGTACGTATTAAGAAAGTAACATATTGGCACTATTTACTGTTAAACATTAATCAGCCACCCTTCATTACCACTACACGATGAAGTTCCATTGAATTGATAACGCAGTTTAGGTACAGTTACACTTTCTCATTGCCACGTTTTGAGCTCTACAGCTTTGAGAGATTTTCAATACATCGTTTCGTTTCGGAGAAATCATCATCAACTTTATTTTTTTATATGGCCCGCAAAGAAACAACATTGTAACGGTTTATTTTCTTCATTACATAGCAGCCAATATTACTTATCCTCGTAACAGTCGTAACCTCGGACCTTTTATTTTTTGTCTGTTCAAATAACATCTCTAATTTGACCATCTTCGTATCTCCTGTGGGTTCGGAGATTGCTTTGATAGACATCCTTATCTTGGACGCAGTGTATGTAACTTCACTTCAGTGTGGTTTTATAAAAGGTAGTTAAGAAGTGAAGTTTTTTTTGTGAAATTTGTTGAATATTATTAATGAAGATGAAGAAGTCAGATGAAGTGAAATAAAGTGAGGTGTACATAATTTGTTTTTTAATCATTTTTTAAAATATGTTTAAAGTTTTTTTTAGATTGGGTAGGTTAGCTTTTAGGATTTTTTTACATTAATTTATGATTTTTGAATGTTTTTAGATTGGTTAGCTAGGTTTTTGGAATTGTTTTTTGGAGAAATTTTCCGTTTCTTTTATTGTTGTTTTCCAAATTCCATCAGGTTTTCTTCGTTTAAAAAAAACAGAGGGGGGTACTGTAACGGTAGAGGCCATTTTGGATTTAAATTTTTGATAAGTTTTCTCGAAATTTGGTTGCAAGTGAAGAATGATTTTTGTCCATTCTTGACCACCTAGATTAAAATATAAAATTCAATTAATGGTTTAAATAGGACCGAAAACAACGAACGAAGTGTAAAAAAGTCTGTAACATCCAACAATTTAAAAATATTGAGGGTGTACCAATTAAATTAGGTCACTTCTCCTCAAACCCAAAGTGATACGAAAATATTATTTCGAGCATTCAACTCGTTTTCACTCATATCACCCACTAACCAATTCTGCCATTTTAGTAAATTCGGTTTTACAAAGAAACCCCTCAAGTTTTTAGAAGTTACCTACTAGAAATATTCAGGTCAGTGGTTCTCTTTTTTAACGTTAATACAACGTCTCGACGTTAAAAATCGTTATTATATTTGTTTTCATTTCGAAGTGTGATAATTACCTTAATTAAATTATGTAATTTGGTATTGATTTTATATCATTTTACTCGTTAGTTTTCACTACGGTCCCACATTGCCGGATTGTGTTTTCGATGGCACGCGATGCAATCGACAAGAGATTCTAAAGCAAACCTGCTGGACAATGCCACTTTTGGTATTTTCGAGAAGATTAATAAATCCCCCTACATTATCACCGATAAACCTCTAAGTCAGGTCGAGAAGCTATTTCTGTTGCATGTGGAACGGGGCGACACCAACACTGTCAAACGGTATACAAGTAAAAAATTGCAGTTTTTCTTTCTAATAACGCGTTTCAGATTGATAAACGAATACAAAGACAGGTCGGAGGATTTGGATGTCAATTGCGTGGATCCACTTAACAGGTCGGGTCTTGTTGCGGCCGTTGAGAATGGTAACATTGAAATGATTAAGCTGTTGGTGCAGCATGTCGATGTTAAGGTTTCCCATTTTGTCTGCCATTTTCGATAACAGTACAGTGGAAGGTTTTCAGGACGGATTACTTCATGCAATTAAAGAAGAATTTGTTGAAGCTGTTGAAGTCTTACTTGGATGGGAGGAACAACACCACGTACCGGGAACTTTATATGTAACCGCTCTAATCGAAATAGTTCTTTTAATTTTATGGCTACTTTTGCTAGATCTTAAAACTTTTGCGAGATATCATTTCTTATTAATCTAATCTTCTGTTATTTGCTTCTCCCTTTAAGCTATTTAAATTCTGAACACCGCGCATTTCCGGATCTAAAACTGTAATAATAAACTAAATTTTAGAGCTGGGAATCTGTGGATTGCAGTTCAACGTTCACCCCAGACATTACGCCACTTATATTAGCAGCCCATAAAAATAATTACGAAATTATCAAACTTCTGTTGGACCGAGGAGCTACCCTTCCAGTTCCGCATAATGTCAAGTAATTAAGTGCCCCCCCGCATTTCCCTTCCATAATATACAAATTTATTCATAACCTTTAGATGCGGATGTGACAATTGCGTGAAATTATGCCAGGAAGATTCTTTGCGACATTCTCAGGCGCGTATAAACGCATACAAGGCTCTCATTTCGCCGTCTCTCATTGCGTTATCGTCGAAAGATCCATTACTGACCGCGTTTCACCTGTCGGAAGAGATGCGTAAATTAAGTCGAATTGAAACCGAATTTCGGGCACAGTACAATGTAAGCATATCCCGCATCTTATGTGATCTACAATGGTAACATTTGTCAGGAGATGCGCAACCAGGTGCAGCAGTTCTCAACCTCACTTTTGGATCACGCGAGAACGTCGTACGAGCTGGAAATCATGTTAAATTACGATCCAGACGGGGACAACTGGGATCCTGGCGAAAAGCAAACGCTGGAACGGCTCAGGTTGGCAATTAAGTATAAGCAAAAGATGGTAGGGTTGGTACAAATGAAGTTGAGGAAAGTAACTTATTTACAGTTTGTAGCACATCCGAATGTCCAGCAGTTACTAGCGGCGATCTGGTATGAAGGTGTACCCGGTTTTAGGCGGAAGAAAACGTTCTGGCAACTCCTCAGTATAGGAAAGCTAATCATCCTGTTTCCGCTTTACTGCTTTGCCTACATACTCGCACCGACGTCGAAGCCGGCGCGATTTATCAAGAAACCGTTTATTAAATTTGTCTGCCATTCCGCCTCCTACGTTTTCTTCCTTGGTCAGTGGAGATCCCCTTAAAACTTAATTTAATCATCTCTTGCGCAGTTTTTTTAAGTTTGGCATCCCAAAGGATTGAACATCAACTGATAGAGTTGTTAGATATAGACTGGATGAAGGAGATGGCTTCCAGTTGGACTAGACAAGAAAGAGGGTCACTGCCTGGAATTGCAGAATCCGTCGTCATGGTTTATGTCATAAGTAAGTAATCGGTTTTGTTTACGTGTTAAATGCAATGTATACCTACAGGCATTATTTGGGCAGAAATTAGATCGTTATGGACCAGCGGATTGGAGCAGTACTTAACTGACTTATGGAACATTTTTGATTTCATTACGAATGCGTTTTATGTGATCTGGATTTCCTTAAGGTTTTCGTCTTACTGTATAGTTTGGGTAATATGGAAGCAAATTTAAGGTTAAGTTGCTTATGAGCTAACTGTCTTGTGCTTGTCTTTTAACTCACTCGCTTCTCAATTGATAAGCTCAATGCTATTCAACGGTAAGTTTTTACCACGCATCCTTTCCTTAATGACTTCCAGGATCTACTGTGATCAAAAGGTCAGTTACGTACTTGGAGAAAAACTGCCTAAGCAGCTTTTGTTATCCGCTAGACCGATTGAAGTTTTTAGTACAGTGCTCAAATTCTTTAAAATCTTACGCTAATACGACTCTTACTTAGAAGAGCATTTTAATATCAAGATAGGCTTGCTAAAAACTCTTTTGAGTCTCAAATCTCGAACGTCGAATCTTCAATCTTGAAATTTTAAGCTTCATATATGCAGATTCCAACATGAAATTTCCAGTCTTAACTATATTTTGGTACTTACAACCTTGAATCTTAAAATTAGTGACCTTCATCTGGAACTAGATCCTAAACTCTTACGCCTGAATCATCAACCTTCAGTCTGGCACTCCGAATCTCTCCGAATTTTCTTTTTTTATATTTTACCTTTTGGCTATTTCTGCTTGTTTTATCCGTTGAGTCTTAGACCTCGGACCGGATACCTTGGATAGTTGAGTCATAAGTTTTGAGCATTAAACCTTGAGTTTTGAGTCTCGAGCCTCGATCTTGGATTGTTGAACCTCGAACCTTTATTGTCGATGTTCTGAGTCTTGAGTACAGAGTCTGCGACCTTGAGTCTTGATTATTGATCCTTGAACCCGATCTTATCATCTCCAGTCTTGAGCTTTATAGCTTGACTGTTGAACCTTGTGTTTTGAATTTTTAAACTTTGCGCCTTAAACCCACTAAATCTTGGCTTTTTAGTATTTAATTTCAAGACTGAGACACACAACCCACTAATCAAGCCTCAGTGCTCTAGGCTTGAGCCTGGCTGCCTTGAGCCTTTATTGTTCATCTTTTAATTTAGAGTGAAGGAATTTATCTTTGAGCTTTGAACTCGAATCTGGGGCCATGTACCTTGATTTTTAAAATTTGAACCTTGCCTTTAATGTTGAGCCATGAATCTCGTATTTTCCGTCTCAGAGTGAAGGAATTTATCTTTGAGCTTTGAACTCGAATCTGGGGCCATGTACCTTGATTTTTAAAATTTGAACCTTGCCTTTAATGTTGAGCCATGAATCTCGTATTTTCCGTCTCACGTCTGGAATATTGAGCCTTAAAAATTGAGCCATAAACTTTGGAAGTCTTGAGTTTTGAGTGTTTAATCTCGAGCCTGAAACATTGAGCCTTGATTGTTGAGCTTTGAATCATAGTGTTGAGGTTTGATCTCAAGTCGGGCGCCTTGTACCCTGATTGCTAAACTTTGAAATTGAACATCTAGCTCGGAACCGTGACCCATGAGCTTTGAGTCGTGGGTCTCGTGTCTTGAGCCTGGGCCTTGATTTTGAGCCACGAACGTTGAGTCTTGTCTCTACATTTTGAACTTCGGGTATCGAGTCCCACGCCCAAAGCATTGCATTTGAATTGTTCAGCCCCGAATCTGAGTTTGTAACCTTAAAGCTTTGAGTCAGAGTCTGTGGGACCTTGATTTTTTATTGTTCCTTGAATCGTGGAGTTTCAAGCCTTGATTTTTGAATGAAGGACCTTGTAATGTGATTGTTAAACCTTGAAACTTGGGATTCCAACCTTAAGTCCAACACTTTGAACCTTGAGTTTTGAAGTTCGTCTCTTCGCCATAAAGAGGGAGACTTTTGAGCCTTGATTTTTGCCCTTGAGTCTTAAAGTCTCGATGTCTTGAGTTTTGAGTATTGAATTTGGAGCCTAGAGTTTTGAGCGTTGGCCCTATAGTCATGAGCCTGGATGCCTTGAAACTTCAGTACTGTGTTTTGTATATTACGCATCCAACTCGGGACATTGATTGGGTTTTGATTTTCTAGGCCTTCGGTTTTGAGTATCGAGTCCCAAGTTGAGCCTTGAACCAGAGATTTCAATTCTTGAATGTTAAGCCTGCGGTCTTGACTTGAATCTCGAGCCTGAAAGCATTGGGTATTGATTTTTGCCTTTTGAGGGTGTGAGCATTGAGTCTCGAGCCTTGCTCTTAAGCCCTGAAATGTGATTCCTGAACTTTATAACTTGGAATCTTGAGCTTTGAGTCTGGAGTCTTGAATCTTTTATCTTCAGCTTCAGCCGGGTATCTTGAGCCTAAGTTTTAAGTCTTGACTTTTGAGTATTGAATCTCGAGTCATTGAGTTTGAGTGACGACAGTTTAGCCTTCAGTGTTGATGTCGTGGTTATGTCTTTATTTTAGGGTTTTCGATCTTGAATCCTCAAATCTTGAATACTGAACTTTAAGTGATGAATCTTCTATCTTGAATTCTTCTCGCATATTAATGCTCGAATCTTGAAATTTGGCTTCTGTTCCGTTGTAGCTCTGAAATTTCTTTTTTTTTTACAATTGTCAAAGAACCTGTCATTTTCTGACAAATTTCGAAGCGCGAAGTACTAGATTTTTAAGTGATAAACTTTCAATCTTGATCTTGAACCTTGAGCATTGATCTAATTCTGATTTTCAGTCTTGGGATGTGAACCTTAAACGGAGTATTATATGCGAATCCTGAATCCAGAAAACTGAACCATGAACTGCATCGATAGCATAATTCGGGGAGTGGGATTTGTTTTTGTATTTTGTTGCTGTGAATTCCTATTGGTAGAATCTTTCTCCGAGAGACATATAGAAAGGTGAATAAAACAACAAAAATATTTATTTATTTACAAAAAGTTCCTTATCTTCTCCAATACACCGTTGGAAGGAAGTACACGTTTTCAATTGGAAAACACATTCTTTCACCCCCAAGTCAAATTTACCAGATTGATTGGGGATGGACACCCAATACGTTTCAATTTAATATAACATGAATTATCTTAAAAGGAAATCCAAACCCTACTCCAATAATAATAAATAAGGCGATATGTTATTCGTTCATATCTTAAATGAATTCGGACGAGGCCGTTAATACCAAATAATTTTAATAAAAACTGCGAAATTCTCGTATGCTGACGCACGCAAAACGGAAGGTGAAGCGACGCGCTGTGAATGATCAATGGTCTTCCGTGTACTAAATTCCACCTTCTGCTGTCTTCTACCACAGGAAGTGTTTTCTATCATTAAACTGGGGCTGACATTGTCAAATCTTCGTTTCGGAAAGTGGTCGGAGTTGACCTATCCGTTTTTGGTGATAATTCGAATTTTCCGCAACCTTACGCCCGCGCCGGTCTGAATGCAGAGGTTTCCCAAAGAAAAAGTGTTGGCTCTTTATTGCGACTGTCCCTCATATATAGTTCCAGTTGTATTATGATAAGAACGCGGCGCGCTGGCGGCGCATAGAAACAGGATGATTGCGCGGTAGTGGAGTTAGCGGTAATGGAAGAAATTTGGTAATTTCCTTCTCGCTAAGATTTGGTTATGACTTTACCTTCGACTTATTAACCATACGAAGGGTTAGCGTAATGAGTAATTATTAAATTCATTATATACTTGCAAATTTCATTAATGCAGGATACAAGCACTGATTTGAACCAAATTATTTTAGAAAGAGTTGCACCACGGACAGGACCCTTGGTATCCACGAGAGCAGTGGCAAACTTTCGACCCTATGCTCCTATCTGAAGGCGCTTTTGCTGCTGGAATGATTTTTAGGTAATTTACGACACCTATAATTTCCCAATTGTAGGTTATGAATACACTTGTAGACAATAATGTACGATATCAATTAAGGCTGCAACTGGCTAATTCCACCTCTGTTTTCTAATAGTTTTGTTTTTTAAGTTTTTTGAAGTTAGTACACATGTTCGGCGTCAGTCCCCATTTGGGCCCTTTACAAATTTCCCTTGGCCGTATGTTTATCGACATCGTAAAGTTTTTTTTCATCTACACACTCGTACTTTTTGCATTTGCGTGCGGTGCGTATCCCTGTACAATTATAATATAAAAGACTTATCTAGTATTCCGCAGGTTTAAATCAACTGTTGTGGTACTACGCAGTGTTGGAAAGGAACGAATGCTTCACCAGGACCGGAATGCCTGACTTCGACGAGCACGAAAAGGCGTGCACCGTCTGGCGAAGATATTCTAAGTAAATATGGTTACTTTGACAATGCAAAGGTACAAACTCGCCGTTTTAGTTTGTTTGAATCCACACAGTCGCTGTTTTGGGCCAGCTTTGGTCTGGTTGATTTGGTCACTTTTGACTTGACAGGAATTAAGGCGTTCACTCGATTTTGGGCCTTGTTGATATTTGGTTCGTACTCGGTGATCAACATAATTGTTTTGCTAAACATGCTCATCGCTATGATGTCCAATTCATACCAAATTATATCGGTAATAGACTTACGGCAATTTCCAAGAAACAATCTTCGTGCCTTTGTAGGAACGGGCTGATGTGGAGTGGAAGTTTGCCAGGAGTCGTTTGTGGCTTACTTACTTCAGTGATTGTGATACACTTCCGCCTCCATTCAATATTCTTCCAACGCCAAAACTGATATGGCGCATGCTGACACGTAGAAACCACAGCAGAGACGAACAGTCATTTAAGGTAACTGTACTTTTGCAACTTCTGCATTTATGGGTGCTTCCGTAGAGAAAGTCTAGGAACCGAGCAACTGAAAGGCACGATTTAGTCATGGGGCTTTTAGTGAAGCGATTTATTACAGCCGAGCAACAAAGGAGAGATGTGTACGGAATTACCGAGGACGATGTCATAGAAATACGACAGGATGTGTCGAGTCTTCGTTACGAGCTGATAAGCATTCTTCAGGATAACGGCATGAAAACACCAAACATTTCCGACCAAGACCCGCAAGGTAACGAAACTATCCGATAATGTTCAATCATTTGAAACCTTCACAGTGTGCGGGAAAAAGGACAAAATTATGGAAAGGCGCATCTTGAAAGATTTTTACATAGGCGCTTTGGAAGGAATCGGCAGTAGTGACAAACCGATTCCCTATAAAAATGTCTTTAGCCATATCGTCAAAGCAATTCGGAGAGAATCCCGTTCAAGTCGTCGAAAAAAATGGAACACGTACGTTCGTAATTCCAGAATGAAGGAAAATCACATAGGTTCGTCCAAAGAAGCCGATACCCTCCGACATAATAGACAAAGTTTGCAAAAAGCAAAACAAATACTACCAGCTGAACTATCGGAAGCGACAAGAAAAGCTTATTTGAAGTTCATGGCAAGCACCACAAGGGTACGTAACAAAGACTTTGTCTAAATATAGAAGAACGAAATACAAGACGCCAATTGTTGGTAATAAATTTTAACAGATAAATAAACATTTTAGGAGAAGATCAAAGGCAACGTTAACCAAACTACCGAAAGCGGCGAATTTGAAGTAAGTTACTGATTGTAGCGATTATATTATGTACATATTTGTTTGTGGCGCAGTTAAACAAAAGGAATGCAGCATTTTTTGAAGAAGAGAGGATGGAGCAAACGACGAAGAGTGGGTGGATGTAATAATAATACACAATCAGTGTGTATGTGTTAATTATTTAAATTTAATAAAAACATAATTACATATCCTATTTAAATGATGTTTTTGGTGCATGGGATAAAAGTACATTTGCGAGGTAGATAATCGTAATCCTCCTTGAGTAAATCAGGTAACATTAAAATTGGAATGAATAAAGTCCTTTGAATGGAGAAAGTCCCCAGAATTTAGTTTCCGCTTATGAAAGATACACCTTAGTTTAATGGGATAGGGACCAAATTCGATCCCATTTAACCAGTGTTTCAGATGGCAAACAATTTTGTAGTAACCAAATGGAAGGTATGGGTGTACCAAGTCGCGAAGATCTGTTTTGCTCTTACATCCATGACAGACTGACGGATTTGCAGGCAAGAGAACGAACGAACAGACATTGCGATCTCACGAAGTAGTTTCCACCTAAAGCTTTAGCTACAACATAATAATCAATCACAGCAGAAATATTTGTAAGGGCACCTAAAATGGCCACGCTTAAATAGAGTACAAAAAAAGATTTTCGGGAGTAACTTTAGCGCATTTTCCATGAATTGATCAGTAGGTACTTCCCGAAAGGTCAGATAACGAACTATTTTCAAAAGGAAATAAGATAAGGCATAAATATACTTATACATAAGACACTTTTCATTCTGCGCATGCGCACATGATGTTTAAAATATTCGATATATTTGCCTTTACTAGAAGAATCTTTGGTTAAAATGTCGAAAAAATATCTCCTTAAATAAGATGGTTGCCATTGGGGAGTGTGCGCATGCGCACATCTGATTTATATGCGTTAAGCTAGTCTTCGCTAGAAGCATAATGCGGTTAAAATTTCAAAAAATATCTTTGTAAATAAGTGCCCAACTTAAAAAGAAGCAACTCAATATCTGAAAACGGTAGAAGTAGTTAAGGCCTCGAACCGACGGACGGACGGACGCACGGAGAAAGTGACCATAATAGCGAGTTCTAACACGAGTCGGAAAATGCGCTAAAAAAATTGAGCGTAATCATGTGGAATCGTTTTTTTTTAAAAAACGCTAGAAAACTACTGCTCAAGTTCCCGAAAAATTGGTACACGAAGCACAAGTTGCATGCTCAATATACTTTTAGACATGTGTGTAATATGTAGGTACATAGAAATCTGAAGAAACTGAAGAGGCCAATGAAAATCAGAGAAGACCAGGTAACGGGTGAAACATCAGAAAGTAAGAAAGGTTGTAGAAGACATGAGCGTAGAGAACAGAAGAAGCTATTAATTCTACAAAGCTTTGTAACGGGAGCTCTTTAATAGGGTTGACTTTGATAGAATTTTCTTTATGGTAACTCAGTTTCAGGTGTTAAGTATTAAGAAGTATACAGAGTGTTTCCATTAGAGGGCTGTTTCTTCCAAAATTTTGTTATGTATTTTCAAATTTTAAAGTCAATTGATTCTTAATGAATTTAGTTAGTCAGAGTCAGAGTGATTTAGAAAAGTCGATGGAGCCTAGAACGCTAAGAAAATTGAGCGATCACGACACCGAATATATAAAAAAAAGGAAGAATCCGAGGAAAGCGATAAGACATAGGAAGTAATAAAACATGGGAAATCGAGGTTGGCTAAGAAGCTACTGGAGACGTGACAACTGCAAAAGGCGAGGTAGGCTAAATCGTATAGAAGTTGCGAAATTCAAAGCAGTCAAAAGAGTTGAAGGAACTAAATTAAACACTTCATTGGATTTGGGGAGCTTATGTTGGAGCGGTCCTTGATTCTGAATATTTGCTCCTATAAGTGAAGTGCTTTTCAACAATTCAAAGAAACTCAAATCGCCGAGGAAGCATAGGAAAGCAAAGCATCTTGAAAATATAAGAGCTATAGATAGCCTATGGGGAGCTGAGAAAGTATAAAGATGTCGAAAAATTCGAAGGAAAAAACCAAAAAGCAAAATGTTCCGACGAATTAAAAAAACGAAAAAAGGCGCGAAAGGAAGTCATGCAGAGAAAGATCCCAAGCAGCTTTAGAAGTTAAAAACGAAGTAAACGAAGTAGCGTAGCAAAGAAACCCAAGGAGTTTAAGGAATTAAAGAATCGGAAGAATATGAGAGTCCGAAAAAGTCAACAGAGTCGAGAAGGTCATTTCAGCAAATAAAAAACAAAGTTGTCAAAGGAACCAAAACTGCTGAAGGAGGCGAGGAAGTAAAAGATGTCAAACATGCATGCGAAGAATACGACGATGTCGAGGAAGTATGGGAAAGCGGGAGAGCTTGTGAAACCATGAGCATCTTCTCCAGTGTCAAAGAAGTCCAAGTTAAATACCTAAATTCAGAAGGAAGAAGAATACGAAAAAATCCACTAGGCTACACTACAAATGTTGCAGTGTGAGGTGAATTCATACACTGTAACTATCGCATAGTGAAACAGTGCAAGTGTACACTTTTGAGTGGTACAGCATGCTTTCTGGAATCTTGAGTCAACGAACTGTGATAAAGGCGCACAAGGCCTTACAAGCTGATTGTGGATTCAACAATTTTGACATTTGCTTCGGATGTATCTTGTGAAAAAGTATCTTTGGTTTGACGCCAGATTATTAAGGTAGGTATAGTGCCTTCCGGGAGATTTAAACTTTTACATTTACCGTAGATGTTCCAAATGTCGCTCGCATTACTGCGGCATTAAGGTTATGCTTTTTGTGTAAATTGAGCGTGTATATTACACAAAAAAATAATTTAACTGAAATATGGCTCCAGTAGGTTGCTAAACCACAGCACGTAACAGATTTCCATTTTTAACAAATGCTAGAGATATAATAAAATAGCAGATGCTGTAAGTATAAAATATGAGCTTTTCTTATGTAGCTGATGTTTAGAAGGTGTAACATTTCATAAAGGATTCTTTGAGGTGAGTGACAAACGAAATGTTTCATACCAACCAGCAACCACCCAAGCAATATTTCGTTACTGTTAAAATCTCTCATAAATTTCCAAGAATATATTAATTAATTAACCCAGTATTGAAATTGTTTTACAATTTTGTTATGCGAATATTACAACGTTACCCTGGGGATAATATCGCATGCTTGTATTAGTTTGCGTAACATCATGCATCGACGAAATTTGTTAACGATTATACTCAATTGAGAAGGCGAAAAAATTAGCTGGTTTCAAATAATCTTAGTGAGCTAACAAAAGTCGTTCGCTATATGAATGCGGAGTTTTCAACACTATTAGCGTGATGGGAACTGCCTATTCCTGTCAATCTTGGACTTTATTGAGTAATAAACTGACCACTTTTCGGAAACGCTCCGCGTACTGTAAACTCGTTACGATCAGAGGCAGTTGATTCCATACTTTCGAGAAATCCCATTAATTTCCAACAAAACTGGCAGAAGTTCGTTGACAATGTCAAATTTAATTTTAAAAGCAGTTTTCACTGAGGGGTAATAAATACATCTCGTGGGTAAGATAAACTTAGGAAGAGATAAAATTAGAAATACCATGAAAAAATCTGCATGACCTCGATCGGCGAAACAAAAACTATCGTAATAAGAAATCTATAAGACTTGGAACAAATGTACTACAGGAACGACTTACATCTTAAATACCTAGATGGTGTAAGAATTTTGAATTTAAATTACGAGCGAAAAGAATTTAAACAAAAGTACGAATCAAAGGTTACTTAAACGGTATTTAAATCAGGAATTTTGCTGACATGCAAATTTTTTTCTTGGTGCGTTATTACTTTTTGTAAGGATAATTCTTGGTCTATAAAAATGTTGCTTTTGCTAGTGTAAAGTCATCAGAATTATTGATTCTTTTTGAGTATTAATTACGGTCTCAGTGTCAGACGTTGGCATTACTTATGCAATATTTCATGTGCCTCGCTATTCACTCCCATTTTTATTTGTTTGTTGCGTTATTTTCTGTTACAGATAAGGGAGAAAGTGTCCTTATTGAGCACAAGGCCGTTGCGACCTGTAGTTCAAAAGGGAATTTTTTTCGACGACCCCCGGATGTAACGTTTGATTACATACTGGTTTTTGATACAATCGAATTGTAATTTCTACCTTTTTTGAGATTCATGTAACGATTATAGCTCCGTTGTTTTCTGCGGGAGCCTGTTTTGATATTAATATTTACTCTGACTTGGTGCTGATCCCCTTTTTACTAAAAAAATAATTTAAATTTAAATATTGGCATTGCAGATCTATTTATTACAGTGCGGTATTTGTAATATGTTTTGTCATCTATTAAATCACCCTCGATTGTGACCAGAACAAGAATCTCTCTGTCTACCGTGTTTTTGTTTTTGTTCTCTTCATGGCATATTATAGATACAGGATGTGTGAGAAATAAAGGCTATTATTATTATTATTATTATTAAATTACCACGAGGTTCTTGTACACTATCAAAACGAAGCAAAAGGGAAATATAGTAATTGTAAACCGGATAGGCGCCACTTAGGCTTTAGTAAATTTATAAAAGAGAGTAATTACCGAAAGGAGGAAACGAGGCAGACTAAGAGATCCTTGTTCTGGTCTTGATAAGCTAAAGAAATGAAATAATGAACAGACATAGAACATAAACAAGAAGGGCGCTTTCTGCTTTATCTGTAACAGATAATAATATCAAACAAAAGGGATGGTAAACAGCGCGACACAAAATATTGCGGTAGCAATGTCTAACGTCTGATACTAGCAGAATCGGATAGTAAAACCGTAATTAATACTCTAATACTCAAGTAACGTGAATAAAAATCGTAGATATCGGTCTGGGTAACTTCAACAACTAATTTACAAAGCAACGGTAACTAATATCTTCGTATGACAAAGCTAATGTGAATACAATGTAATCAAACTAACAGGAATGAATCTTCGGAATATCAAAAGTAATCGTAGACAAGATTCGGTCTGGGAAGGTATATTCTTCTGTAATGACAAAAACAAAGTACGTAGGATAAAAATCATCGAAGCGATTAATAAGCTAAAAAAGCTCCAAAAGGTTTCGTAATACTTGCAGTTAAACAGGAACAGGAAAAGATAAAGACCTAAAAAATACGTATTAAGAATAATGCTGCGTCATAACCACGGTCATAACGGTACATATCTAGCTCACACTATTAGTCTGCAAACACAAATCCGCAATCCACAGCCACAAACTCATCAGAAATAAAGAGAAAACCAGTCTAAAGAAGTAAGGTGATAGCCAAAACCAGGCAAAAAACCCTTTTCAGCCACTAAGTCAATCAAAGAGTAATGGCGTTTCGACAAAAATTTGCATGCAACCAATATGAACGCAAAAACTTAACTGAAGGAAAAAAGTACAGGGAATGCGTATTAAAGAATACAGTGACTCTATACAAGACAGTGGCGACAATTGAGCCCATCCGCCATGCTGTGGCAAATTCAAACAAAAAACTTTATTAAGTGGTGTGTATAATTAAGGATAGAAGATAGCATGATAATGCATTAAAAGAAATTACCACTGGAATACTTTAATAATTGAAGATATTCACCACAGCTAAACATTGTAATGACACTAAACTGCGGTTGTTCAGAATTGTAGCTACCATGAGGAACAAAGTAATAATCTCTAACACGACCACTCCAATGCTCGTAACGTACACAAAAAATACATCCAAAATCCCATTAATATATAGGTTTCGGATTGCGATATAGGTAGAAGAAAAATAGGTACCTAATTAAATGAATATATATGGCATAACCAATAATGACGTAAATACGTTTAGATAAACAATTTAAGAAATTTTAGCTTGATGTCTAGAATTTTCTACTTCAAATTTTATCTTTCGCAAACTAATAACCTGTCATTTCAACGACAAAACCAAAAGTAATATTCCCCCAATCCCAATGCTACCAACTACTCCTAACACAATAAAAGCGCATTCAGTCATTCATTTCCTCAAAGTAAAAGTACATTCAACGAAACAACGGGACGTTACACAATTTTTTTTTGCAGTGTGGACGTACATAGTTCACTCTCCCCTTCTGAATCAATCACGACTCCAAAAAAAATTGGAAACAGAGGGTATATTTTAGAAAAGAATCTATCCTCCCTTTTCTCAAGGCAGCTTACTTGCGATACTTGTAAACCTTTTATAGCGGTTAGCGAACTTTCTAGACGCTTTGAAAGGAAATGACCCTTCCACAGCACGCAGTGTGTCTTTGAATACCGAGGACGACAGTCTAGTGATTCATAATAACGAGGTTTTACCTGATTTTTAAGATAGAGGATTGCCTCCCGAATTTTCCGACTTATTGCAGAGAAACCCTAACAAAAGCAATGATACTTCGTTTTCTCTTCATGGTTATCTTGTGAGTATTTGGCAGAATATAGTAACTAATGGGCTACCATGCTACCAATAGAAGATTATTTGAACATTATTAACGCTTGTACGCCATTCAAAATAACGTTAGAATTAGCGCCGCCTGAAGTAAATCCAGAATTTCTCTCTCTTTTGGATCAATAAAAAAAATTCCGGGCAACTTAGATTCCGAGTTACAAATGGGACATTCAACTGAAGTGAAGTTGATCGATCCTTACTTGTTATTGGATAAAGACAACATTTGAATATTCTAACAGAACATGCACGAATTAAGCCCTGACGATGCCAAAGCGATCACATTTAATATGGTCTGGCGATGCCCAGTTTGAATTTCATGCAATTCGGTTCAGAAATGGCCGAAATGACAAGAAGGCACTGTGAATGTTGATTCGATTAGCCTTAACTTTTGGCATTGCGTATTATATCGCTAAAGCTATCCCCAGTTTAAATGTCAAAAAAGCCATCTTTATTTTTTCGCCTAAATTGACAATTCAAGATTCCGATCTACAGATTTAATAAAAAATCCACCTGCAAAATTTCATTGTAATCGGACCATCTTTTAAATCGATGGACATGAAGCCATCGAGCGAGTGATCGGACGAATGGGAGAAATAAAATTAGAATGATTGAGATGCATATACCTACCTAGTCAGGTACCTAATTTCTATGGGTGCAATAAACACATCTGACATCAATATCAAACGTTTATTTATATTTTCCATTTAATCAGTGTTGAAGTTAACAAAACATCTAAGTATTACATGTTCCAGCCACATTTTATAACATTTATGATTGAATACATTTTTAAAAGATCATTACTAAGTATCTTTCAAAATAATTCAAACAATCTAATAACAGTCTTGCAAGGTCAATGATTCTGCCTTACCTCTTCTAATTTTTTTAAGATTGTCAATAATGGGAATTTATGCAATATCCTGTCGTTTAAAACCAAAGGAAAACGCAAAGTTCCCTCGAGCTCGAAACTGGGAGGCAATGGCCGCGAGACCGTTGGCATTGGGAATTCTTCTTCCAAATTCAGTTTCGTCTTTTGCTGATTACGGCCGTATCGGATAAAACTGTCGTCACCGGCCTTACCAAACCTCAGAAAGCTGTCGCTTCCACGTTTGTCTTGGACGTCGACGCTCCTCTTGCTTCGTTTCTTTTCGGTATCATTTTCGGGTGCGTTTCGACCGAATCGTAAAAAATTCTGGTCGTTGGCGCGCATTTCTCTACCGTACTTGTAGGGATCTCTGCCGAATCGAATAAAATCGGAATTTCCTCGGCCGAACCGTACGAAATTATCGTTTTTGTCTTGCGAACGGGTGGGCCTCGCGAATTGTTCCTCGTTGTCGTCGTACTCGGATTCCAGATCGTCCATAAATGGCAATATGCTTTCACTGCGCCCACGCGAGTATCGCAAGTAGTTGAAGTCGGGAAATCCGCGATCTTTATCGTGGAATGTTTTGTACGGTCTGTATTTGGAGATGTGGGATTCCAGAAATGTTAGAGGATCTTCATCATACGCATCTTCGCTGAATACTTCAATGGAAGATAACTGAACCAGCAGGATGAGAATCATTAAACGGTGCATTGCAAATTGAAAACTGAAAGTAAAGAAACTATATTAGTATACGTGTATTTTATACTTTTTTAATACATATATTTCGAAGGTTCTTTTGAAATTTCAGTGATGTTTGTGATTTCGTAAAGGTTTACTAAAGTCTCACTGTTGCTTTTATTTCAAATATCCGTGCTGTTCAAAATGACAACTGGACTTATTAGTTATTGATGTCAGACGGTTGACGGTAACAGCACGTTATAAATTCGAGAGTACTAATGACGCGTTCCAACTCAAATTAAGATGTAGTATCATAGTAGAAGGTCCGTAGAAAAATTAGAAAGATAAGAACCCGAATGTACCTTTCTGTATTTTACCCTTTCCCTTGAAACGCTGCACCTGTTTTCCGCCTTGCGTACCCGTTTTAGCGATCACTCTGTAAATTAACGCCTGGTATTTTCAAGCGTTTTAAGTTGGCCGCTTCGTTACGCAAAGTGTCGTGCCGAAAGTATTTACGCTGGTTCTGGGAGTATTTGATTTAATTTGTAGAGTTGTATTTCAGCCGCCGCTACCGTAAAAAACCCGGCATTTAATTCGCCGTTTGTAACCCTCCCGTCAAGATATTCCTCTTAATTAACAAATTAATATTTTAAAATTTCAGCCACGTTAAGCCATTATTAGGAGGTTTTTGGTTCACATGGTAATTGAAACCGAACATTAAAACTACAAGACCATACAGTTTTGATAAGCGACCTTTATACCAACCCCGGGGAATTCCAATTAATAGTGAGCCTTACTGGACTACCGACTTTAGAAATATCAATCCGCGCAATGAAGTTAGTGCCATTAACGGCAGCTAAATAAATGTGTTGCAGTAAACAGCATCCGATTAAGTCGTGAGGGGTTTCAAAAGAAGCGCTCTTAATAAATTTGAATTTTAAGACCAATTATTGATTTTTAGGACGTCTTCAGGCCGCACAATAAATTAAGGAAGTTTTCATTCCTGTATGTAGATCACCAAATATGCTGTGTCGGCTGGAAGACCATCGTTCCCTCCATGGATCTCTTACTTTTTGCACCTTCACAAGGTATGTTTCGGTATTATGTTTCGTTAAGTACCGCAGTTTTGAGCTTTTCCGCAAATCTATTTTGCATTCATACCGTTTAATTTTTGCTTTTACATTAAATTTACCGTAAATATCTACAAATTTTGCTTTTTCTTTCATAGTAATTTTACCCGCTTCGTTTAATTGCAAGGTTGGAGTTTTGTTAGCTTTCCTGCATTTGATTTCCCGTACATAACGCTACCGAATCCGATTGTTTACTGTTCCGGCTTAGGGAAATTGCTGTACGATATAATTTTGGTTTAGCATTCATCAGTAGCTTGCCCTTTAGAATTCCTAGAGCTGCCGTTTGAGTTTATCCGGCGCTTCCGAGACCCATCCGTCAAATCATTTTTTTATGGGGGTTCCCATGATTTATTTCTCAAAATGGTGTTTTGGAAAGTAAAGTGTGCATAACTGTTACATGAGTCGACCCACCTGCGTCAAATTTTGCATGCGGTGGGGACAAATATTTTGTTTGTCAATTTTGCATTACGATCCTGTCCGCCATATTGAAATTATTTTTATATGACTCAATTACTTTGGAAAAAAGCGAAATGTATTTTCAAGCGTTTTAAGTTGGCCGCTTCGTTACGCAAAGTGTCGTGCCGAAAGTATTTACGCTGGTTCTGGGAGTATTTGATTTAATTTGTAGAGTTGTATTTCAGCCGCCGCTACCGTAAAAAACCCGGCATTTAATTCGCCGTTTGTAACCCTCCCGTCAAGATATTCCTCTTAATTAACAAATTAATATTTTAAAATTTCAGCCACGTTAAGCCATTATTAGGAGGTTTTTGGTTCACATGGTAATTGAAACCGAACATTAAAACTACAAGACCATACAGTTTTGATAAGCGACCTTTATACCAACCCCGGGGAATTCCAATTAATAGTGAGCCTTACTGGACTACCGACTTTAGAAATATCAATCCGCGCAATGAAGTTAGTGCCATTAACGGCAGCTAAATAAATGTGTTGCAGTAAACAGCATCCGATTAAGTCGTGAGGGGTTTCAAAAGAAGCGCTCTTAATAAATTTGAATTTTAAGACCAATTATTGATTTTTAGGACGTCTTCAGGCCGCACAATAAATTAAGGAAGTTTTCATTCCTGTATGTAGATCACCAAATATGCTGTGTCGGCTGGAAGACCATCGTTCCCTCCATGGATCTCTTACTTTTTGCACCTTCACAAGGTATGTTTCGGTATTATGTTTCGTTAAGTACCGCAGTTTTGAGCTTTTCCGCAAATCTATTTTGCATTCATACCGTTTAATTTTTGCTTTTACATTAAATTTACCGTAAATATCTACAAATTTTGCTTTTTCTTTCATAGTAATTTTACCCGCTTCGTTTAATTGCAAGGTTGGAGTTTTGTTAGCTTTCCTGCATTTGATTTCCCGTACATAACGCTACCGAATCCGATTGTTTACTGTTCCGGCTTAGGGAAATTGCTGTACGATATAATTTTGGTTTAGCATTCATCAGTAGCTTGCCCTTTAGAATTCCTAGAGCTGCCGTTTGAGTTTATCCGGCGCTTCCGAGACCCATCCGTCAAATCATTTTTTTATGGGGGTTCCCATGATTTATTTCTCAAAATGGTGTTTTGGAAAGTAAAGTGTGCATAACTGTTACATGAGTCGACCCACCTGCGTCAAATTTTGCATGCGGTGGGGACAAATATTTTGTTTGTCAATTTTGCATTACGATCCTGTCCGCCATATTGAAATTATTTTTATATGACTCAATTACTTTGGAAAAAAGCGAAATGCATAGATACGGTAACTGAGGGAATTTCCCCCTCTTACATTAACTAGCGTACAGTCGAATGCGCCCCAGATGGCATTTAAATGCTTACCTAAACCTAAAGCATCCCCCCCCCCTGAAGTATTCAGGATCGCCGCCGCTTAGCATTCGAGCACTATATCTACATCTGTTATAAAAGTAAAACGGGTAGGTAGTACAATTTGAAAACTGTTTACCGCTAAGTAAGCTAAGAAAATGTTATCAGATTATGAATTAATCAATAGGGGAAGTATTTATATGCTCAAACTGAATTGTTCTTAACTTACAAGTGCCCATCTAATACGAAATGTGAAACTGTTATTACAATAAGGAAATAAGATGACTTCCTTTCGAAAGTTCTCTAAACCGAACATCTTATTACACAACGTTACGATCGTATTCAAAGTTTTCAAGCTTTTGGATGGATAGAAGCAAAAGATATTTAAAATTAAAATAACTTTTGCATGAGAAACTAATTAGTAACGACTCTGTGCGGCCGAATATGGTAACTGGGTATAGGTACTTGTATTTTACCTATGCTAGAATAATGTACTAGATACGTACCTATAAGGAACAAATGCGCGAATTATGAAGATAAAACGTTAGTTGAGAAGTATATTAAAACCAAAACACCAATATTTTTGGATTATATTGAGATTTACAGCAACTTCATGCATTCCATAAACACTGAAATATAGGCTTTTAAAGGTTCGCACTTTTTCAATATTAAAAGATATTCGGTACGATCGTATTGTATGCAGCGTCGTTAAATGTCAGAGATATTAGGTATATGGTATTGAAAGTGGTTCACAAGCATGTAACTTTTAAGCCGGCGCTTCTGGACCTTCGGCGTTGAAATTAGAACTGACTGAAATTCAATTCGTTTTGCTTATATAGATCTCGAACGGTTCCGAACGCACCCGACTATTCAAGCATTTTCTCGAACAAACACGTCACATTTCTGGGAAAGGTTACGTCACATCCGCCTCCGTTCTTTATGGCCGATGACTAATTTTTCATGGGTCCTCGATGTCTATCGGGATTTCTGGAATATTCGCTACAATAAGAATTCCAAAAAGAACCGCGTAAAAACTGAGAACACCTAATAATATTTAAAAAACCGAAGACTAATGAAGAATTCGAGGAAATGGCAAACATTTTAAAAATCCGAAATATTTCAGACAATTTTGCGGTATTAAGGAATCCGAACAGAATTACTGATTTAAAGGGTGATGGATGTGAAGGATCTAAATAACTAAAAGAGCTACAGAAGGATCCACACAATCTCGAAGATTTTATAGGTTGTATTAAACTGATGAATGCGAAGGATCCGAATAAAAGATGTGAAAAAGTCTATAACCTGAAGTCCGAGGAATCTCAACGGAAGAAAGAGTACAAATAACCAGAAGATAGCGAATCGTAGCGTCCGAAGTAATAAAAAAATCCAAAGAATCTCAAGTTTGAAAAATTTAAAGAAAAAGAAAAGTAGCTCTTATTTTTATTTCCATGACTAGATGAACAGCATCCTTTTTATCTTTACAATGTGTCCGAAATAATGAGGGCCGCCGTGGGCATTCTAGAAAGGCTAAGAGATGCAAATTCGGTTAAATGTGGAGAAAGGTGCTCAATCAAAGGCTTAGAAGGTAGGGTTTACAAATTCATGACACATTTTTTGGTTTTCGAAATATTTTTCGCTTCACTTCTCCACGTCAACTTTTAATGCTCTTATTCATAGTATACTGTACTGTACAGTTAAAGCATGAGAGAGGTAATATCCGCTATACCTTTGCGTCTATTAAAACAGAGAGAACGCTTCGGCCGTGGTCCTTCCGTTTCAGAACTTTCCATCGGCAAATAGACTGGAAAAACTTGGTGGGAGAGCGGCATTCTTCAACAAACTTTCGAAGAGAACCTATGCAGGTCGAGTGGTGCACTTTTTCGATCGCATACCTACGTAATGTAAACGCAACCATTGTAGATCGCGTAACAATATTGTTTCCTCAACCGAAAGCTTCAAGGCGTTCGTATAATCGAGGTACTTGTGTGAAAAGATTTGTCAGTCACGTAGTCCTATGTGATAGTGTATCGCGAATGTTGAGGTTTCACATCAGATTTCAAGTAAAAACGTGCCGCAAGTTAAACAAAATTTATTACTGACTG